CAAGGCAATAATGAAGTTAACTGTGTTTAGTACAGAGGCAGCAATCCCACCACTTTTCTGCTTGTATCAGAGGTTTGTGTGATGTAACCTGCTCAAGTCAGCTCATGAGGTCTAGTTAGCAGGAAGTGTCTCTCGATGAGAAGATTTCTCAGGTTATTTTTTTTGTAAAAGGGATTAACTAGGCCTTAAACTGCCGGTGGTGCAGATACAATGATATATGTTTCCATGGTCTCCTTCAAGACAAGTCACAAGATACACTGTGGGCGTCTGACTTACCTGATCCTCTCACAAGGTACTTCAGCATCTTGTTCCTGGTATTAGATTAAAGAAACTGAAGTGTAGTGTGAGGTAGTTTAGTTAATACTGGTTCTTTGGTTCCTGCTGCTCACAAGGTCACCCGTTTGTGTGCATTGGTAGTTGCTAGATTTGAAAAGTGCATTTCCAGTATTAGTAGTAATACCAGGTTTCTTTTCTACCTTCTTCATGTCATGATTGAAGGGACTGTGCTGACATGCAGGGAGACTATTGGTGAAGGAATTGCTGCCCTTTCCAGAAACTCTATTACTTAAAGCAGTAATTAGTGGATGTAATGATAACTTTGCAGCTGGTGGAGCAGAGGGATCACTGAGTGAATGAGGCATAACCAAAGATGTCCTTTCTCTCGTTTCTAAGACTCCAAAAAGTTTTGCCTTCCTGTGTCCCAGGGGTGGTTTCTAGCTTTCATTCTCTTGAAAACCTACCCATCATTTAAATGCACAGAAGGAGTTGAGCCCTTAGAAAAAAAATAAGGGAAAATCTTGATCTGGACTTTGTTGCCTGGGCGCAGGTCTTTTGCCTAGTCCTTTCAGCTGTATTTACAGTAAGATGTTTCCTGGTTGGGTGATTTCCTCCTATTCTTTGCATCTACTGAGGCACAGACATGCATAAAAAAAGATGTGAGGTAGAACACAGATGCCGAATTCTGCGGAGATGAAAAGGTCAATGCTTTACACAGAGCCTTTTTTCTCATTTCTAGCTGTAACAGAAAGCACCTGAGAATGGAATGAAAGGTATTAACAACCCCAGCCTTTGCCACTGCCTTCCCAGCATGCAGCAACTCTCAAAAGTGTGCAAGAGGTCCATTGATACATTTCTATAGTGTAGTGTGGCAAAAAAAAAAAAGGGGGGGGGGGGAAGAGGCATAGATTTATATTAGATCTCAATTAGCTCAAAGCCCTTTTAGCAGCACCCCACTGTTTGCTAACGGTGCTTGGCTGAGTAGAAAGTTGATGACTAATCTAAATGTCCTTCCTTGGGCTGGTCTGGTTTTCCAAGGCAGCACTGTGGGGGAATTCAATCACAACTTCATTGTATTCCCAATTGATAAAAGTGCAGAGCTTGTAAGAGTGTTTTGGACAGGCCAAGAGGGGCTGTAGTAAGCCCCTTGATGTTACTCAAGAGATTAAGGGATACTTTAATGTCCCCTCCTGAAGGCCTCTTGGCTAGGCAAGATACACAGCCATACATGCACATGTTAGCCAGAACTAGAGCACACAGTCCTTGCAAGGTCTGATTTCAATTTAATCTTGGCTGGGTTATTTCTGTTTACTGCTGTATCCCAGTCTTTTGAGATGGAATACTAGCATTTATCAGTATAGCCTGCTAAAATCTGCTGAGAGGAAAACTAGAAAAGTGGCATGGACCTTGCGCTATATCCTTTGTGGAGCTACACCAGCTCCAATTAATTGCTTTCCGTTTACTTATGAGGAAAGGTGCTATGTCAGAATGGTTGTTGGCTAAAGAAATGTACTTGGAAATCTTATCAGAAATCCTACTACTTACGTCCTTTTTAATGATGGTGTTCCTTCTTCATTCTGTGTATAGCTATATACTTAGTGTCTAACCCCCATAGTCCATATGTTTGTTGACCAAGTACTGGAAGGAATGTTGCCATTAGCACATACAAACCAGGTTTTCATTTCTGAAGCAGTGCATGTTTCTTAAAAACCCAGGTGTGTTTGACAGCTAAAACTAATGTCTCTGTGGTCTGGACGTAAAATTAGCTGCTCTGGGAGAAGGATTTTCATGCGCAACAGGATGAAAACATTGAGGGTGACAGACAAAGCATTTGCAGATGCCGAGAAGCAGCCTGGCTACATGAAGTAGAAGAATAGCTCAATTAAGATGATTGTTTTCTGCAAGCTAATGGCTGCAGTTTGAAAATAAAACCTATTTATTTTGGCCTCTTGAAATTCGTGCCTGAACTGGACTTGTTAGTCCACAGACCTGCTGTAGCATTAAGCTATAGCTGGAGGAAAGACAGAATCCAATTACGTTTTCTGCCTAATGGGTCATCATTTATGCTATGAAGGCGGCAGTGGTGTTGCTGAAGGAAAGGGGCATTGGGCATGCTTGGATATGCATTGTGGTAGGCTGATTGTAAATGAACATGTGCTTTCTTTCCTCACTTGTTCAGTACCAATGTAATTCAAATCAGAAAATAAGTAGTCATACTGGACTATACACAAAACAGGCCAGAAATCTGCTTAGCTTTCATCTTGGTGCTCTAACTTGCTTTGCTGTTATTGTTGATTCTCCTTTTACTGTACTGAAACAGGATTACTTTAGTAACTTCAACATCTTTGATTTTTTGCTTTTGGTTTCTGCTGACACTTCCAAATTAGTATGTTCCTTCCCCTTTGTCCATTAAATGCTAATCAGTTTCACTTTTGTAAACAAATGGGGAAAAAAATACAGGGTTTTATTTGTTTTTTTGTTGTTGTTTTTGTTTTTGTTTTTGTTTTTTACTGGTGGGACTCAGAATGTAGGCTCCTAAGCTGTGCTTAGCTATTGAGGTAGGAGACTTGCCCTGCTTAGAGAGCTGCTCAGAGAGGTTGGTAATTCTTGAAAGTCCAACTTTTAATTTAGGCATCTGAATACAGATTCAAAATCCAGAACTTTGGACTTCTGTTGTCTATGTTGGCCTGTCTTTTTTACTTTTTGAATGGAGGTGAGAAGACTTTTACAGCAGCAATTATCAGAGCCTCTGAACTGTAACAAACATTTACCTGTTCATTCAGGAGCTCTAAATGTACCTTAATAAATTGTTCTCATTTGGGTGAGACTAAGGATTCTTGATTGTGTAAATTTAATTTCTAAAAAGGAGCTATCACTCACATGCTGAAGACAAAATCGTAAAAGACAGTTTAATTAATAATTTGAAAACACTGTAAAAAAGTCCCCCTATTAAAAAGTGCCTGTCTGTCGCTGGTGCCCTCAGCTTCTGGAGTGTTCATACAACAAACTACTGTAAGGTCACTCTGGAGTATTTACATCACTGCACATTCCTGCAGCTGCTGCCCAAATACATTAATTGAGTTTGTAATATTGTCTATGCTCAAAACTAGTTCCATTGTAATGCAGAAGAATAAATGTTTTAGATAGTACTGGGAAGCAGAAATCTGTTCTGGAGGAACTCAGAGATCTGGATTTGAGACATTTAAGATCTCTTTGTAGTACCTTTACACTCCTTCCAGAGAGCAGAGACCTTCCCAGGAAGAGCACCCCAGAATATGATTCCAAATGTAAAATTCAGATGTTGGAAAAAGTCTGTAGAAAAACAACAACAAAAATGAGCCTGTAGAAGTATGCCATTTAGTCCTCGCTGCACTGAATCTAATAAACCTTTAGGCTTTTATTATATTTGGCTCTTTGTACTTGCAGTTCTGTTTGGGATTGAATGACATTAAAGGAGTACAGTTGAGAGAAATTAGATTACCCAGAAATAAAACAGGCTGAATGCAGGAGCCAGAAGGGCAGTGTGTACTTCATTGAAAAGGAAGATGAGATGGTACCTCAGACAAAGACACGTGAGTTAAAGATGTCCAAAGGGAGATTGAAAACATCTGAGAAGCATTTTGATTTCTTTCAGCAACAGTTTCCTCAAATAGTCTCTCTGGAATTATTATCTAACTTGGATTATTTTTAAATAATTCCTTTGAGGCTGTGCTGGATTCAGTTGTAGGGAGCACAGAAGGTACAATATCTTTCATTGACTCCAGGCTCCCTCAATTCCAGACAAGCATGTATTAGATACTTCACTCAGGTCCATGGTACATCTGCTCCATCTCCACTGCCAAAACACCTTTAGTCTCTCATTTAAAAACAAAACAAAATAATCAAGAAAACAACAACTAAAAGCCTCTAACAGAAAAGCCAAAGCAATGATGATATTCCGTGCGAAGACTGTGGAAGAGACCAAAGTATTACTAACATTTTCATTTCTGCAGCAGGAGAGACTTAGGTGAAATGTGCCTGGATGAACCTGGAAGCATGTCTCAGCCAGAACTGTGAAGGCAGAAATCACAAACTGTCAATAGTCCTTGTCAGTATATACTGGAGGGAATTTCCTTCCTCATCCAGGTATGCTCTGTCTGCCATAAACATCTCCAGTTTGCTGGGTGTTTGGACTAGGCTTCTGACTGGAAGATCAGAGTCTGGGATCAAGGAAGATCAAGGACCCAGAGTATGCCAGTGACTTCCACTCTGCATTTGCGATGACTGATAACTAGGGCTTGCATGAATATGGTATATAGAGCAACAAGAAGTCTCCAAAGCAAAGATAATTTCTATTTACTGCTAGGATAGGCCTTTGAGCCAGTTCCAGTTTGAATTCAGGAGTCCTTACAGGCTGCTTGGTGTTCTAGTGCGCACCCTAGTGTTGCAGTGTCGTAGAGATTTGAACACATATCAACCCTTTCTGTATTATTCCATGTGGTTTTATAAAGGACGGGAAGCAACTCAATGTTAGCAGCTTCCTTTGGGTCCTCAGAGGTCACTGGCATTGTGCATTCAGATGAATACTGATAAAGAGCAACGTTTATGAAGCTAAGAAGGTTCCACCCTGTGTTCTTACATTGGGTGAGTAAAGGAGCCATGATGATTAGAAGACTGGCAAAGCTTTTTTGCTGAAGACCACTCCTATTGTCTAACCATATTCTGCATGCTCATTTCTTCTGCAGCCTCTTTACAAGTGGACATTGTTCCAAGCCAGGGGGAGATCAGCGTTGGAGAATCAAAGTTCTTCTTATGCCAAGGTGAGTGATGGCTTATGGCATCAGTTGTCTCTATCTGGGTTTGCTGGGAAGGTCAATCAGTGTATTAACTCTGGGATAAAAGCTCCAATGACAAGTCTAACTGCAGGATCTCTTGCTCTTTCTTTCTCATATGTCCTTATGGTTTATAAGTCTGAGTAGCAAAGGAAACACGTGCTGTTTACTGGAAACAGTAAATGCATTCTCCCTTGAGAGCTAGCAGCAGAAAGCAGCTCCATCAAACAGATTTTGAAATTAACAAACAGGTACTGAAGTGCTGTCTCTAAGCTTGAGCAATAGCCACAACAATGGCACCTTGCATAGTTCCACAGCTCTTTGAGCTTTTGAATTTAGAATTAAGCCTGTTGTTTTTCCAAGTTATTTCTCTAATTAACTCCTAACAGCAGTAATGGGAGTGCTAGGTGACTTGAGAGTTGCTACCTCTGCAACTAAGGATTTTAATGCTGCGTTTCTTGTGACACGATTTACTGTTTGTTCAGGCCCCCAGCTGCCCCAGACTGTTTTGCACAATGTGGTGCAGTGCTGACACAATCCATGTGCCCCAAAGTGGGTGCTACAATTTTATGTCATTTTGCAAATTAACATCCATGTGTCCTCTGAAGAGGTTCTCCTGAAAGCAGCTGGCCTGGTTTCTAATGGGTGGAATTAGTATGTTGGAGCACTGACATGATAGCATGACACAGCAAATAAGTGCTACAGTGAGATCTGGGAGCAAAATGCCATCAGAGGACCACACTTCCTCAGAAACGTACAGACTGGGACAAGTAATGAGGTCATTTGATCCAGAAGTGCTTAACTGCAGAGTAATTTGTTAATGTCAGTGCTCTGAAAATGAAAGTCTACTCTGAGCAAGTGCTGTTGTGATGATATTTGCATTCAGAAAATTGTGAGATTAATTAAAGCCTCCCCAGTAATAGGAGTTTGTCCCAAATAACAAAGCCACACTGAGGAATGCAGAGATGTGAGCTGCAAGAAAGAGACAGCCTGGAACTGCTAATAACAATTCTGATTTTCACTGCATACAGTAGGATGTTTAAGCTGGTCAATGCCAGAACAGCTGCTACAGCAATATCACCATTTTGATATGCAAAGTAGCCCAGCCTGAAAAAACAGGTATTTATTGAAAACATGATGGAGCTGAAGCAGGAAGACAATTTTATTTCTTGGTCTGATCTGCACAGTGGAGGGACTGGGACATGGGATCCCATGATGCATAGAAGTCCATTCTGGGCTAAAGTGAGTGTACCCCTTTAGATTATAAAACCAACCTAATATCGTTTTTGCAGGACAGCAGCTGACCATTCAGAGTGCTGTGAGAGAGAATTTTCTTTGCTTGCTTCTCAGGTACCAGAAGCCCTTCCCCTGGGTCAATGTTCCACATAATGCTACTGGTTGTATTTAATTCCTCTGTGCAGATTTGTTGGGAATTCATTTCAATTTGCTGTTTTCTTTTATTGTCCCTAGTGGCAGGTGAGGCCAAATACAAAGACATTTCCTGGTTTTCTCCAAACGGTGAGAAGCTGACGCCGAACCAACAGCGCATTTCAGTGGTGCGAAATGATGACTTCTCCTCCACCCTCACCATCTACAACGCCAACATTGATGATGCTGGCATCTATAAATGTGTTGTCAATAGCGTGGAGGAGGGAGACTCCGAGGCCACCGTCAATGTGAAAATTTTCCGTAAGAGAGTGGCTCTGAGGCTGTTTTCTGGTCTACCTTGCACATATATGAGGCAAGATTAGGGAGGCAACTGTTTTGTCTTCCTAGAAAGGGCTGTTTTTAAAGGGGAAGAAGGAGGGTGAAAAGGAAGGGGATGTTAAGAAGATGCAGCCTTCTCCGTTCTTGGTTTTGAGGGATAAGTGGGAACTAGGACCATAGCATGTCAGGGCATTACCAGCATGTCTACTACTTAATCTCTTCAGAAAGGAGAGCAAGGGGTAGAAGGAGAAGATTCTAGTGCATCATAAATGACCAGGAGGAGTAAACAGAGAGAGCAGCTTTTGTGGATGACAGACATGCCATAAGACTAGTGTTTAGTAAAGAGGATCACACATTCAGAAGGGTTATCATAAGCCATCAGCATGTTCTCCAGCGGAGCCGTGATAGCAGCTTCTCCCCTTCCTGCCAAGAAGCTGAGCAGTTCTGAATTCACATTTTGTCTTTGTAGTGTGGACAAATTGGTGAGCTAGGTAGAGTACTGATTTAGCCTGCTGATATGCCTGGGAGGCACACTGGCAAATGAGGTTCCTGTGTTTCAGTGCATTGAGTCAGGCACACCTTTATCCTGGGAACAAGAAGATTTCTAGAGAACATGTCCTCTGGGGTTTCTTTGCTTTCCTCTGGCCTGAGTAAGGAGCATAGCTTGAGGTGTGCTGAGAAAGCTGCAATGACTTTCTCCTTCTGTTGTTTTCAGAAAAGCTGATGTTCAAGAATGCTCCCACTCCTCAAGAATTCAAGGAAGGGGATGATGCTGTGATTGTGTGTGATGTGGTCAGCTCACTGCCTCCTACCATCATCTGGAAGCACAAAGGCAGGGATGTTATCCTAAAAAAAGATGGTAAGGCACAAGGTGTCTTGGTGCTTGTCCACTCAGGGGTCAAATGTCCATCTCCCATCAGGACTCAAATCCAGGCTCATACAAGGGGTTCAGGAGAACAAAATGGTGGTGGTCACAAGGGAGGAGGGAAGCAGTTTGTACCTACACACTAGGTCTTAGGATGTGAATCTAGTTATTCAGGGTGCTGCGGTTTGGCAATGGCAGGGCAATAATGTTCCCACAGAAACGGCCATCAGGCTTTGACACTGGAATAGGCCAAGGAATGCTAGAAAACATCTTAAGGTAAAAGAAATGCCATCAGACAGAAAAGCTGCATTTTGTGATATTCTCCAGTCTTCCTGAGGAATAGGGGCTAAATGCTCCTGACAGAACTTTCCCCTTTCTTTCAAAGTGCTGCAGGCTGTCATGCCCAGAGGGGAATTTTAGTGGCAGAGGAGACTCCAGCTGAGCATTCATGCTTCAGCTGTGTTTCCCGTGTCTGCTTGTTGCAGGCACAAGGGAACTAGTAAGGCGTGAACTCTGCCACCCTTGGGCAAGAGGGGCAAGTTTCAAACTGCTTGTTGTCTGATACTAATTAAACATAAATGTGTTTGTGTGTGTATATTTATCTGTTTATCCCTCTGTGTGTACTTACGGTATAAAGCACCAAAGCAGTGTGCCTGCTACCCACATCTGGTTTCTTTCTTGGCAGTCAGATCCAGTTGCAGCACCATCTCCAGTAAATGGTGGGAAGGGCAATTTTATTATACTAGGCCTTGTCTCATCCCAGAAAGATCAAGGAGAAGAATACGTTACATGCAGTGAGTTTTTCTGAGGTTGCTTGGATGAACCTTCCTTTTGTCTTTTCTAGTTCGATTTATAGTCCTGTCCAACAACTACCTGCAGATCCGGGGAATCAAGAAAACAGATGAAGGGACATACCGCTGTGAGGGCCGGATCTTGGCTCGTGGGGAGATCAACTTCAAAGATATTCAGGTCATCGTAAATGGTGAGCAGCTTAGAGTAGGGCTAGTATGAGGGCAGGGTACGTAGCACCTGCCCTCCAGACTGTTGATGGCAATGTTACTTTAGATTCACTGTTTGCCATCAGCTTACTAACCTTTCTCTGCTGTGTCAAATAAAAATGTCCATGAAATTGACTGTTTGACAGGTGTTTACAGGAAATTATCATTTAAAGAGAAACCTTTAAGTGTCTCATAACTTAAGAGTGAGGTCTTGATATTGTTGGGACTCAAGTGGTTTTGTTCACAATACTGATTTATGTGCATCTCCCTACCCTCTGCCCTTTCTTTCCTGTGCTGATTGGTTTGGAGAGAACACGCATCAAACCTGTTGATTGAAACCTGCAGGTGATGGCATAAGGGTTTGAATTACTAGCGACATCTGTGTGTATTGCAGAGATTTACAGTGAGCCTTCCAGGGCTCACATCTTCTGTCCTTTCTGACTTGAATGTGAATTTCTTCTATTCTAGTACCTCCTTCTGTGCGCGCCAGGCAAAGCACTATGAATGCCACTGCCAACCTCAGCCAGTCTGTTACCTTAACATGCGATGCTGATGGCTTTCCTGAGCCAACCATGACGTGGACAAAGTAAGATGCTGTGTGCGATGTCCTGGTTGTGTGTGAGTGTGGATATTTTCACCAAGGCCTGGAAAACCAGGCTGTAGAGAAAGCAGTAGTTTAACTGGAATAAGATTAATGAATTTTTGTCACAAGAGGAAGAATGGCCTCCTAACGGAATTGCAGTTAGCTTCTGTTGTGGGTTAATCCCAGTAGGCAGCTAAGTACCACATAGCCCCTCGCTACATGCCTTTTAAGTGGGATGGGGAAGAGAATCAGAAGTGTAAAATCCAAAAACTCATTGGTTGAGATAAAGACAGTTTAATAGATAAAACAAAAGCTGTGCATGCAAGCAAAGCAAAATAAGGAATTCGTTCGCTGCTTCCCATTGCAGGCAGATGTTTAGCCAGGTTGGCTGTCCCAGCTATATCTCCTCACAACTTCTTGTGCACCTCCAGCCTACTTGCTGGCAGGACAGTGTGAGAAACAGAAAACCCTTTGACATTGTGTGTACACTGTTCAGCAATAGCTAAAATATCATTGTGTTATTAGTGCTGCTTTGGTCACAAACCCAAAACGTAGCACTGTATGAGCTATAATGAAGAAAATTAACTCTATTCCAGCCAAAACCAATACAGCTTCTTGGAAAAACAAGAATAACAGTAAAAATAGCAATTTTTCACTGTCTCATTGCATTCTTTGTCAAACTGCAAATAGAGATAGAGCTTCACGCTGATCAGACCTGTCCTGTGGGTCAGTTTATTATCATCTGTTGCACTGGTGAGGAAACTTAGGCAAAATGAGTGCTGTAACTTGCATTTGTCATGTCAGGAGATATGCATCTAAAATCTTTCTCTTCATCAGGTCTAAGTTTCACTGTCAGGCAGTAATACGAACTTCAGGTATACTGTTCTTGAAATTGTGTAGTCATTGGTGAAGGTTATGATGACAAGATCTAGTGTTGAAAAAGCTGATGGCAACTTGGAATACTGCCTTGATATATGCAAGGATGAGGTGCCCCCTTCAGTGGTGTATACAGCTCTTGCATATAGGCTATGATGTGTGTCAGGAGGTGAAAGGTTCAGCTGCCAAGAGCCCTAAGACAGGTGGGGTTAGGAATAGTTCAAAATGTAAGCTTTGTAGCCCACAGGGGAGGGAAAAGGTGGTGGTCCCTCTCAGCCTGAGGAGTTTCAGTGTAGTAACACTGTTCTAGCATTAGCAACAACCCTAAAATAAATAGCCTTTGACTGCTTCTCCTCCCCACTGCAGCCAGTGTGCTTTGTGCCCTGTAGGGATGGAGAGCCAATAGAAGAGGCCGATGATGAAGAGAAATACAGTTTTAACTACGATGGGTCTGAGCTCATCATCAAGAATGTGGATAAGAGTGATGAAGCAGAATACATCTGCATCGCTGAGAACAAGGCTGGCGAGCAGGATGCCACCATCCATCTCAAAGTCTTTGGTAAACATGCTCTTACTGTCCCCCCTTTCCAATCCAGTTGGCTATTGGTAGGTCACTAGTGCAAGCTGGAAGTAACCTACTTATCCCAGTTAATGCCTGATGTGGCTCGTCCAGAGCTGCTTCTTTCCCAAGTAATGCTGTGTACCTCTGCTGTCTTGCTAGGCAAACCAGAGTCTGTATACATGTCAAACAGATGCCAACGCCCTTCTGCTTCCTCTCTGATAAAAGAAATTCAGTCCTGTTCAGGAGTGGTGTGAGATTCACGTGCTACTTGAAATATCTTCCTGGCCTAATCCAACCAAGGTGCCATTAAAAGGGCTTTAGCACTTCAGTGGGACTTGCTAGAACCTGGACTGGGAGGTGAACTCCACCCCACCACTGTGTGAATGACCTCAAGCTTGCAGAAGTGAATCAGTAGCTTTTCTACCTTCGATGAATCTGGAAGTGCTAAGGAGTATAATTCTTCCTGTCCCATCCCTCTACAGCCACTTGACAAAGCTGCTTATCAAAAGGCTAATTTGGGGCAGAGAAATTAGACAGCGAAGTGGAAGACTTAGCTAATAATCCCAGGAACTGATCATTTGTACATTATTAAATGTGTTCTACTTGAGATATACTCTCTTCTAGTCCTCTCTTACAAGCCGCAGCTGAAGCATATGCAGAAAGGGTCTTCTAGTTTTGCCAGGAGGTACCCTCTTCTCAAATGTCGCTCTGCTGCCTTCCCCATATAGCAGTAAACTTGTGCCAATTCAAAAACCCTTTTTCCCCAGTGTTGGTTGTTTCAAACATTGCTGTTGAGGCAAGCTTCATTCTGAGCACCAGCTGAGAGAAAGTTCCTTTTTCTTTTCAGCAAAACCCAAAATCACCTATGTGGAGAATAAAACAGCCATGGAGCTGGAGGATCAGATTACACTGACCTGTGAGGCTTCTGGAGACCCAATCCCTTCCATCACTTGGAGAACTTCCACCCGGAACATCAGCAATGAAGAGAAGGTATAACCTTTCCCAAAACCATGGTCTCATTTGCTGGCATCAGTTCAGCCTGTATCTGCCTGCCTCTGCTGATCCAGAATGCATGATAGCCACATGCAGATGCACATGGAAATCATGGTGGTTCCCCTCTCTGTAGTGAGAACACGTGCGGCCTTGCACAGACTATCTGCTAAAGGGCCAGCTCCACAGAAGAAGTAATGCCATAGGTGTTCTTTTGAACAAAGAGCATTCTCAGTTCATGACAACTGAGGATAGGCTTTTTACTTCCAGCTGGTATTACTCTGAGGTGAAATAACTTGAAAAGCAGAAGGCCCTGGATCCTTTTCAAAAGAGTTTCTGAAGGGACCTACAGTTGCCGGAAGCTTGTGACAGGGTTTTTCCCTTCTGTTTGCAAGCTGGGAGATGGCAAGGAGCACCCCGATTCCAGTGTTGTCCATGCTATCATGATGATATGATGTGGGAGAGTGGCAGGTGGAGGGATGTGGAGTATTATCTCTCAAAGATGCAGTGGACCAAAATGAGCCTGTTAATTCCTTCTTGCCCTTCTGTATTGCATTCTAATACTACATGTATCTGAAGCACAAAAGCCTGGCTGCCTTTGTGCTCACCTGTTATGTTGATCACATCAACATCATTTTGTTATTAAAAGGCAAAAATAATTAGCAGTTTTTCTTTTAAAAGAGAGTGCTGTTTGGTGGGTTTTTTTTTTTACTGGCCACAATTCCCCTTAACTAGACAAAATTAGTATGTGCTGTATTACTGTAGATATTTCAGTATAGTTGGATAAGATGATAAGGAGGCATAGTTTAGAGCCAAAAGAAAGCCTAGACAAAAGTTCGAGTAAGGAGTTGTTGCTTATTAATAATCTTCTAATAACAGGATGCTTCAAGGCTCAGTTAACTTGGACATACCAGGGATTTTGACTCAGTATGAAGGCAGCAGTTGATAGACTATGAAAGTCTTAAAGCAACAGAGGTATCCACTGTCAGTCATCCACATGGCTGCCATTCTGCACTACAGCTTCCCAAATGAGCTTTTCTAATGTGTAACTTCTTAATCAGGGTGCCAAAATTTTCCAGGCTTCATTCTTTCTTAACATCTTTCAGATTGGAGGGCTAGTGTAAATCCCTGCAATATTTAGAGATTTCCGTTGCCTTCAAAAGCTGTTGGCGTGGGCTCTCACTACAGCATAACCGGGGACCTGTTTTGACAGCATAAGATTATTCATGGTCTTGTCTCTGTCTAGAAGAGTGGTGGGAGGAGCTGAGTGCTCTACTGTTTCTAGCACTAGAGTTTGGATCACAGCCACAGAAGAGAACTTTGACAGGGAGAAGAACATAAAAACTGAAATAACACTAAATCAAGTAGAAGTCGGTAGGAGAGCCTGTTTACAGAGAGTCCCATCTGTCCAGTCCAGTTAAACTACCAACATCTTGGTGACAAAACTGCTAACCATTTTTGAGACACTCATATTATCTTGCCTGATGCTGTTAAGTAGGTGATCACTGTTAAGGAGAATGTTAATACTCTGACAGTTTCTTATATAGACGGGGGGAAAGAAAAGGTTTGGTGTACTACCATTTGTCTCATGTACTGGTTCAAACCTTCAAGGCAAAGATATTTTTTTAAAAATCATATTCCATGCACTTTCTAGGCAGGATTTTCCTTGTGTCTGCATGTTTTGTTTTTCACTTTTTCCCATTCTCTATCTCGTGCTGTAAGTTTAGGCAAATGGTACAGATGTCCAGAAAATCCTCAGGTTAAGATAGTTCTGATAAACATCCTATTGCATATATTCAGTTTACTATTTCTGGGGTAGCACAGGGAAACGGATGGTCTTTGTTGTGGGACAAGCAATGCTATTTTTAAAATTTTCAAGCTTTAGGTACTCAAATGCATCTGTCTTGCTCTATGTTGTTTACTTCTGTAATCATACTTCAGTCCAGATTTTTAAAGGTCTAGACTTTCCTTACCTCCCATGAACATTTGGTACTTTAGAAATACCTACACAAACCATGGAACAAACAAACAGAGCCCTCTCTGGCTTAGAGGTTTTCCCGTCCTCAGTCTGTCCAAGAACAGACACAGCCTGATGTGTGGACAAAGGGCAGGAGGTGCTATAGCCTAAACACCTAGGTTGACAAATGCCACTACTATTTCAATATTCCCATGCTTCCCTGAGAGACCTGTTGATATCCTAGCATGCATAGCAAAAGATTCCCCTCTCTATGGCTATGCCTACATAATGTGGCACCCCCTTGGACAAACAATCTTTTTCTTTGAGGATAGTCTGCAATGGTAAGTGGTTGTGCTCTAGCAAAATCAGGTGATTGGCACCTGTATACCAACATAGGTAAGCAGACCAAACTTCTAGATACTGGCATGGTGGAAGCTTCCTCTTAGTAGTCAGCTGGCAGCTTGCATTCTTCTGTCCTGCAGAGAGTGCAAGTAAAATTAAAAAATTACACACACAGACACACACACCCCCAAAAAAATTTTCTTGTATGTGGTTTACTTTGGTTGTGAATGTAGGAACATGATACTTGGGAGAAACTTTTGCCCTGTCAGTCTGAGATTCCTGTCTGTCACTACTGCAGAACTAGCAGGAACCAACATGTCTGGAAGGTCATCAACATGACAATTTGAATTTGTTTGGTGTTATCTTTCCCTTATTGCTGTGCCATTTTAGGGAGGAAGAATGCTTTCTCTTTGAATGATACCAGGTATAAAGCCAGTCAAGCCAGTATGCCATATTCCTCATCACCTTCAGTATATTTCATACCCTTTTAAGAGACATGTTTCTTCTATTGCTCTAGTGGAATACTGACTGTGATTCGGTAAATATTGTTTTGATCTGTTGTGTATCGGTGTACACAAGTTCCACAATGTTAGTGCAGACACAAGTGTGTTTCCTGTCAGATTTTTGGATGAGGCAGTTGCAGACTACTTACACTTTCATGAAGCAGTTGTGAAGACGGTCCTAGGTTTCTTACCCAGCAGTATAGCGCAGTGTGTGAGGAATGGGAGGTGTCACGGGTGATGCTCTATGCAGGCCTTTTATCATTTTGCCAGAGCTGGCAGTAGGTATATCTGTGGCACATGATCTCACTCAGTACTGCTGTCTGGCCTCCTATGCTAGCTATAAAGGCCTGCATCATGTTACCATTCTCTCTATGGCAAGTCAAAAATAAAGTGAACACTTCCTCACCAGATGAAGGAATCAAAGGACAGAGAAAGACATCAGCTCTGGTATTCTTCCTCCTTTATTCTAATTACAGCTTAACCTGTATAGTGTTACGGGGCCTTTTGCACCAAGGCTGTCTCACAAGATTCCCTGTTTCTAAAGTAAAAAAATGCAGAAGTCTGACTTATGAACAGATCAGAGTTTGAGAGGCCCCTTTAGTAGGTGACTACATGTCTGAATAACTGATGTCTTTTTGCTCACCTCTCTGACAGGTGAATTACATCACTGCATTGTGCTACCCTGAGAACAGTCCAATACATCCTTCCACTTATTTTCTGGGTTACTGTTACTGAGCAGTAGTCTCCTATCAACTCTATGTTGTTGGCAGCTAAAGCAAATAGTTCAGTTATTAAAAATTTAGAAAGCTTTAGATTAAAACAACTTGATTGAAGTCCAGCAAGGTAAGGAGTGCCCCTTTGCTAGGACATAAGTGTTGGGTTGCCAGGGTTGCAGCAGCATGCTAGGGCACAATAACCAGAAGATGAGAGGAACTCATTCCCTTGCACAGCTCACACTAGGTCCAATTTAGCAATCAAGTAATTAAAAAAAAAAGAGTGAAATAGAAAAGATCCAAATACTCTGCTGATGCAAATGAGCATTGTTGCAATACCTTCAGCAAAGTGCTTCTAGATGTGATGCAGCAGATCTAACATTTCAAAATTTAAGTTTAATTTCCTGTGTTTTTTTTTCTTTTAAGTGGACCATGAATACAATTCCCTGTCTTGTGTTATACTTAGTATCTCATGAGAAGTACATGGGAATCTTTGGATTTAATGATCCAGTGAGTGAACTACATTGGCAGTTCCCAGGAACTCCATTGTAATAGATAGATGCTTCCATTTAACAACTTGCTTCCAAAGGGAAGGGGAAGGGTGCTGGTATGCATGAGGCTCTTGGTTCCCCCTCTATACCATGCGTGGTGCTGAGTAGAGCTTGTGTGTATCTGTCCTGGTAAGAGAGCGTTAGTATGAAACTCTCCAGGATGGATAATGTGGTTCTGCCTTTTTTCCCCACACTCCCAAGTGCCATTATAAAGAAACAGCAAACTCTAGGAGTGCGGGAACAGGTTTTTACTCCTTCATTTTCCTTTAGGTTGACAGGTACTGAACATCAAAGGAGAAAAAGATGTCGTTTGTTTGTTTGTTTGTTTGCTTATTTTTTTAAATCCCTCTGTGCTGACACCATAGAGACTCAGTGAATAGGTTTGAAAGGGGACTTGCATGGGTATAAGCAAGGCAGTTCCCTGGCTAGCCTGGCTTGTTCAAGTACAGAGAATGACTGGTACATCAAAAAAGGATTATGTTGAATTATTATGGTTGCCTGTTCAGCTTTCAAGGAACCTGTGCACAACAGGATATATACATAGAAATTATTAGATGATGGGAGTGTCCTAGCCCATGCAGGTGTTGGTGAGCTTCTCTTCAGGTGGCTTTATCTCAGGCCTCTAGTTACAAGCAAATAACTTGCTTTTATCAAAGACACTCTAAAATGAGGCTATCTGTACCATGTTAATACTTAAGTCTCACAATGTTCGCTAGAAACACTGTGGAAATAATACTATGTTTTTTAAAAATTCTCATTTTTTAAGCTTTCATTTTCATTTCTGTAATGTCACTCTTGTGTATGCTGTTATATCCACACGTCAGCAATGGTTGTGCCTCACATTCAGTAATGCCATTGTGGCTGTGATATTAGCAGGTGATTTTTGACTGCTGAAGTGAAATGGGTCAAGTTGCAATTGAAATAGACCAAAAGAAAAAGATTTGAAAGATAAGTTACAGGGGAAAAACGGAACCCAGCAATTTTGGTCTTTCTGAACCACAGTGAATATGATCCACACTGTTGTTGGCTTCCTCTGAATGGGAAATGTATCTTTATTGGTAAGGTTTGTGCATGTTTCACTGATGCCTGTTGTTTGGTTGTGCCAAGCCCAGTAAGGACAAGGGTGCACATACCCCTAAGCATAATGATCTGGAAATTGTCAACTGGAGGTACAAGGTTCTACCCTACTGTCTCCAGTCCAGGGGAAGTCATAGTGTTTCAGTGCTCTGCATCTCAAGGTCTACCACTCCTGGCACAGTGTGCACGTAAAAGTGGGTATAAATGCATGATCACATTAACAATATAAGTGTTAATGTTAATCAGTGTGTGCGAGTGGCCAACAAACCTGTGTTAGAAAACCAGTTCTGTAACTATCTTTGCAATTTAGTGGCCTTGGTTATAAGAATCACTTCCTCAGTACACTGGGAACAGCTTTCTAGAAATGGTGAGAAGTGACAAGGTCACTTGATATGTAAAAATAGAAGCAGTCTTTAGGTATCGTTAGCCTTTGTTTAATCATTTTAAGACCAATTTAAAGGATATTACGTTTTGAATGCAAATCTAAATTGAGAAATGGAAACTGTGATCACCCCACACACGAGAGATGGAGCTTGGAGCCTGCATGTGCACAGAATACGATGTGGTGCCTACATTATGATACCTAAAAGCAACCTTTGATAAACACTTATTGCTTTTTTTCTGTTGTTGTGTTCTATATCTGTTCTCTCCAGGCTTCGTGGACCCGGCCCGAGAAACAAGAGGTATAAGATTACCAGACCTTTAGCAAACTTCTTAGTTTTTTGATTTTGTTTTTTTTTTTTTTAAGCATTATAGATTAACAAATCTTTAGTCCAGTAACCACACCAGCTAAACCAGCATTAATAATATGAACAAATCAAATATCAGTACATAAAAGAAACAGCTTGTAGAGTTAGAAGTTGCTTGCCATGTAGTAATGCATTTTTGAATGAGCAAACTAGCTGTGTTGGGAGTGAGTAACTCTTGTCACTTTACAAAAAAAAAAAAAAAAAAAAAAGACAAAAATAAAAGCAATTTAAAATCTGACAAAGACTGTTTTACCCATTTTCTTCTCTGCTGCCAGTGTGAATCACATCTTGCTTCTAGAGTTTTAAGAATTAGCAGCAGCATGTATTCTGGAAAAGTTGGTTTTTTTCCAAAGATAGCCTCTTCTGCTCCAGCCAACTCATCTGTTTGCTCATGGTACTGCTTAAGTTTGACCTTATCTTAAAGGACAACTGCATCATGTTCCATTTCAAAATCAATGCAGATAAATCTTTCACAAGTTATATTTCTCCAGAAAATGCTTCAAATTGCTAAATTATTATATGTCTTTGATTTGCAAGGGTCAGTGAGGGGGTGTGGGATAATGCAGTAACTCAGTTTGGTCCAAATGTGTTTTGTTGCTGGTTTATTTCATATTCAGCACTGTATTTTAAAAATAATAATAATAACCTACCTTTACATGCACCTGATTTGTGGCATTCCTGCTTCAAAATGGACTAGGAAGTATGTTTCCAAGTAAATAACAGGGGTCAGGTAGAGAAAAAAATTAGCTGTCAGAACTGGGTGACTCATATTTGTATTTTTAGGATCAACTTTGTGGGGGCTCTGGGTATCCTGAATTATTTTTTACTTTTAAGCTGTCTTAAACCATGGAGACTGGCGTGGCCTAAACAAAGTGAATATCTAACTTAAGCACCATCCATCTTTGTTTCATGTGGGGCTGAGAAGCTACTGCCCATCCTTACTTCAGAATAATCTGTTGGAATAGATGAATTGTGGCCAGTGAAGGCATTGGACATTCAGACCAGTTTGTGTTGAAGAATTTGGAATTTGAGTAGTTGTATCTCTTCAAGCCTCATCTTAATTTCTATTACAGTTGTGTTCATCTCCCCTCCCTCCCTCCCTGCCCCAGTGTCTCCACTGTGCTCTCTGCTCAAGCCTTTTATTAATATGAGCACTAATACTATTAAGCTTATTGTCTCTAAATTTCTTACTGTGTCTATGTCTTAAAATATCCAAGTGGGATTCTGTGACAATGTTGTTGAAGCTTATTGTTGCAGCTTGTGTAGACATAAAATAGCTAGCATGGGGTCTTTTAGCAGTGTATTCCAGCCACAGGGAGTTCAGTTCTCAGGAAACTGAGTGAAAAATTGGCATTAAGTGTGTCACTCTTACTCATGCATTAACTAGTTCAAAGTAAGGAAGTCTCCATGCGCTTCAGTCATAGCAGCCTGTATGGGTGTTAAATCTTGCTTTCCTTGCTTTGGAGGCACAATTGCAGTTGGCTGCTTCTTCCTCTAAACAACAGTCAGCTCCACTTACTATGCACAGTCCATAATGTCTCAGTTCACCATTCTGGCCCTGCATATACTGGGGAATTGAAAGTCATATTAGCAGCATATGCTAAAAAACGCTCCCATGCACATCACCAACAGATGCTGAAAAAGTCAGTTACAAGCAAAAGTACACCTCAGTTACACCACAGACTGGTGTTGCCTTTCTGGTAACCAGGATTTAGTGCAACCTTACAAATATGAAGAGCTGCAGATGAGTTCTGATTAGTACAATGCAAGCTCAGAGCTAGGAGATACCACTCATCCTCCTTCACTTGAATGTGTAGCTGTGGTCAGGATTTTCAGGTGCTGTTTTGTAATGATGTCCACCATGTGGAAGGTGGGTGAGGAGAAGATATGACTGTGTGAAATGAATTCATGGCTACTTGTGTTTGAAAGGACTGAGAAAACCAGAGGTGGAGGGAAGTGGGGTTAGATGCATTTCCTACTTGTCTCTTCTCTTCCCCTTTGGCACTGAAGTATTGAAATATAGGCCACCTTTGTACGTAGTAACCATGTGCCACGTGGTCAGAATTTGGACAAACCCTGCACGTATCTCAGGATAAGTTGTAGTAATCGGCAATACAGAGAACCATCATACTCTTTTCTGTAGAGTGGAAGTTGCTATGGCATGACTTATTGCTTGTGCCCCTTAGGTTGTCTTCCCATTACTACAAAGCATTTTGTTATTCAAAATCCTCAAAATCGGAGAGGCTGGGTAAAGAGATTACGAGTGTCTACATCTCACTCACAAATTTCTACCTATCCTGTGTCTCCAAGAGCCAGGAATTGTTAACATCTGATGGTCTGAAATGTGAATAAAGAAAACTAGCAGCATGCTTTCTTGGGCAGACATTTTTCTCTTTGGAGTATTTTTCCTGATCTTTCTTTTTCTTTTCTTGTGGCTTTTGCGTTAAGAAACAGAGCTTCATCTTCAGAGTCAGTTGCATTACTTGTAAAGTTGTCATTTTACCATGACTGACTAGTACTTTTTTTTTTGTACTGGATCTTGACCAAGTAGGGAAAAGGCAGGTGACACTGGATATAAAATTGCCTTTGCTGTAATGATAATGTGCTGGTATTTTGCCATGCTTATACTCTTGCCTGCTGATGGGGTCATAATATTTAGTATATTTAGAATATTCACCCAACTCATGAGATGAAAGAAGCTGGGAGTCTCTGCAGATCTTGATATTTATACGTTTCAGAAACGGGATGGGCTTTGGAGGCAAATCACAAGTCAGAAAAAGGATAACAATATAGTCAATCAGTGGAGAAGGATAAAAGCAGAATTTGGATGTGTGAGATACCACAGTGGACTAATGTCATGTTAAGGGACCCTTCCCTGGTTCTAGGAAACGATGCACACAACACCACGTGTACATGAAATAAAGAACTGTTCCCAGCAACACAAGGGACCAAGTGTGGCAGATGGAGTGGAGTTTGTAGCTTGTGGCATTGGTCATGGATTGCAGTAGACCTGTGTGCAGGTTAGAAGAGGAAGAAGAATACGTATAATTGGGTTTGTGTCATGAAAGGATGCTGGTTTTGTGCATATGAAATTTGACAAGCTCAAATGAACTAATATTCAGAACTAACAGAGATAATCACCTTTACTTGTAGAAACTTCATCAGTCTCGGGGATTGAGACAACTAGTTCAGAACAGAAAGAGGATTCAGGCCCTGAGGATCTGACCACTAGAGATGTACTTCGTGCTACAGCTCAGTGCATTTGTCTGTTTAATATCCTCAGGGTTTTTACTCATAATCTCAGTATTTCTCCTGTATCTTCCAAGAAAAGTAATGCTTTTGAAGCATTAATTGCATTAAATGTGGCAGGCTGCAGCAGCAGGCACAGCCATGAGGGTACCTGATTTATTCACTTGTGCTTGTGCCGCTTCAGAAATTAGATGAGAGTTGATGCTTTAAAGCTTCCAAGCTGAAGCATAAGCACCAGGGTGGAGGGAGTACTCCATGGCCTTACGTGCTTCATATATTAAGAGAGCACTTGGGCTTTAGTCACAAATGGGGGGGTGGGGGAGGAAGTAGTGATGTGGGATGGGATCTCTGGGTGGCTGCAATCCTGTTGAGCAGATGGTAGCCTGGATTTGACATTCCTTGTGTCTCTGTCATTGACATCTCCACACTTCTTTGCATGTGGGAGCAATTTCTAAACTTCCATATAACGAATGCAGATTGCTCTAGAAATTTCTTGAAGCATCACAAGACTTTAAAGCAGAGTTATCACTAGAAGGGTGACGATTTTCTTGCCCTGAGCACTGTCCCTTGCTCTCTTCAGTTCCACGTTCAGGTGAAAGTTCTGAGCTTTCATTTTGCCTGACTCAGCTCTGGGGTCTGGATCTGTTCTTATTAATGCCACTTCAAGGACATTGAAATACAATAAGTATCAGTGAGAAAAGAGGAAGACATGAATTCTCTGGGTGAAAACACAGTATCTTTTGGGGAAGTTTTCTTTAAGAGCATGCTGGCAGAAATTTTTACTCAGAGTTGGATCTCTACAATTCTCATTCTGGGAAAAAGCTTGATGTTACCCAGCTGCCCTCAGGCACATAGTAGCATCTGATACTTTGGTCCTTCATTTCATTTTTTTCCCTTCTCCTGAGTGCTTTGAATCACTGCAGCTGGCCCTGTGTGACAAGGGATCTTCTTGATGCTTTTGGAAATGCCTCTCTGTGCCCATGATTTCACCTGGCCTCAGGTGACTGCTTCTGAAGTATTGAGCACTGGAGGGTTGGTGTGAGGTAGATTTGCATTTGTTCTCATCCCTCTAGACTGCACCACAGGCTCAGAGATCAACCTCTAACTCTCTTTTCCTTTCCTGCCAGACCCTGGATGGGCGCATCATAGTACGTAGCCATGCCCGAGTGTCGTCCCTGACTCTCAAAGACATTCAGTACACAGATGCTGGAGAATATGTATGCACAGCCAGCAACACCATCGGGCAGGACTCCCAAGCCATGTACCTTGAAGTGCAGTGTAAGAAGTGGAGGATGGGGCGGGGAGGGTGTTCATGTGTTCAGAGGGGAGACTGTTTTGATTTCCTTTTCCTGTGATGAGACTGAGGCACCTACAGCTAGGGAAATGTGTGTTTGGGTAGAGGTCATGGGAAGCAACTCAGTCTGAAACAGTTTTGTTGGAGACATGTTGCTGTGTGCATACATGCAAAAGTTTGGGCTGGCTGTCTTCAGCTGGGATACTGTTTGCACCTTGGGAAGATTATGGGCCATGAATCTGCCACAGTCCCATTTGTTGGGTGCATCAGAGTTCTTGCCTAGGAGAACTTCCCGACATGCACTTCCCTAGATGCATAGTATGCTGTCTGCTCCTTTTCCCACACTGCATTAGGAGTAGCCTTTGGGACTGAGTAGGTTTCCTCCTTGCTGCGTCCTTCAGTAAAAGACACCGCCCACCCCCCCAGATGAAGATAGTTCCTGTTTCCTATTTTAGATTCCCTTCCCTACATTAAACTGGACCCCAGCCAAAGATTCCTTATAGTAAGGCTGACTGGGCTATTTGAGGAGATTTTGTGGCTGAAATTGCCTTCACAAATGTGTTTATCTTTCAGATGCCCCCAAGCTTCAGGGCCCTGTGGCTGTCTATACCTGGGAAGGGAATCAAGTGAACATCACCTGTGAGGTATTTGCTTACCCTAGTGCTGTCATCTCCTGGTTCCGGGATGGACAGCTGCTTCCCAGCTCAAACTACAGCAACATCAAGATCTACAACACTCCATCAGCAAGCTACCTGGAGGTGAGGGAGGCAAAGAGGGGAGAATACATATGCCTTCTCTGAGCAGGAAGGCTCAGTGTTATCAAATAATTTATGTTCCTGATGTTGAAGGAGTTAAGTCTTCTGTGAGGGCACCCTGTTGGTAGACAAGAAGTTGTGTGGTGTTTCTGGCACATAAATGCTAAGAAAATCAGGTAATAGCAGACACCACCCCCTCCCTGCCTTTAACCTTCTTCCCACTGCAGTTCTCCCCTCTGCAAACAGCCCTCAGAGTGTTAGCACATGTACTTTATTGTGGCTTCTCTCCCCAGTAAAATGCAGAGCGCATTGATGGAGTGAAAAGGGTTTTCTGATCCAAGCACAAGCCTTCATTCCTTCCACAGGTGACACCAGACTCTGAAAATGACTTTGGGAACTATAACTGCACTGCTGTGAATCGCATTGGCCAGGAGTCCTCAGAGTTCATTCTTGTGCAGGCAGGTGAGCATCCCAGGCAGGGAGATAAGGAAATGCATACACAGCCCTTGAGCTGAGGTGACGGAGTGACCATTCTTTTCTAGGTTGTGTTGGTGGGGTAGCAGGAGAGCCAGCTCCTACTTTCAAAGAGGCTGTTCATAGATTTTTGCATTGGGATGGTTTGTAGATAACAAGATCCTCGGTATACTCTCTGTTTCCTTGTTTCTGAAGCGTCTCGTTCTTTTCTGCACTTTTGGTACATATTGACAGAGCTGTAGTCTGGTTTCTGTCAACCATTGCATGTGTGCTTCTTAAAATCAGCAAAATATCCCTAGTAATACAGGTAACGTAAGATAAAAACCTCAGAGCACTGTGTGGCAAGCAAAGAGGTTCATGTCTGACTGCATGGCAGGCTGGAAGGACCTCTAGTGTCCTCTCAGGGCTGCCATAGAGGCAGATTTAGGAATGGTCAAGCTATGTATTGGAGTGCCCTATGGAAGAGACTGTAGGGACAGAATAGCATCCAGGATGCTCTTGCTACTCTGCTCTGGTTGTCCTCTTTTGAAGAAGGTACTGTGAGTCTCTAGCCTCTTAGAGGAGACAAGATGAAGGTCTCTGCACTGTCTAATTAGCATTCTTAAAAGCCCTCTTAACAGTCTTTCCCTCCTGAGGGGAGCCTCGGGCCTACCCTTCTCTTCTCCTTTGTGAAGCCATGACGGGTATGTTTGATATTCCTAGTTTTCTGTTTTCTTTGCCACTGGCGCTTGTTTCCCCTGCTGTCTTCTGTATCACTGGTTGTTTTCCCTTCCTCCCCCAGATACTCCGTCCTCTCCTTCCATTGACAGAGTGGAGCCCTACTCCAGCACTGCCCAGGTGGAGTTTGATGAGCCTGAAGCTACTGGCGGGGTGCCCATCCTCAAGTACAAAGCAGAATGGAGGGCACTGGGAGAGGGAGAATGGAATTCAAGGTTGTATGATGCAAAAGAAGGTAGGATGATAAACCAATATGTTACCTCCCTCACCTGCATCTCAGAAGACTTTCTTTACATTAGGGGAAAGCCGGAGTGGAGGGTTCCATAGCTCTGCAATTTCAGCTCCTAAATTAAGGCCCCAGACAAGTTCTTAAACATTTGCTTTGCAGTGACACAGTGAATTTTCTGTTGGAAATGAGGGCCCTGCTATGCTGGTAGCTCTACATACGTGACCAGGCACCAGCCTTCTCCACCTACAGAGTGTGTGTTACAGCACTATGTTCATCTCTGTATCCCTCCATAGTTTGGACCATCCTGTCTGAATAAGGTGAAGAACCCTGTGTCTGGTATCAAATGAGGTTTCACTGGCTGACTGGGGAATGACTGTGTGCTTTCTACAGAAGGCTTTTCAAGCCTTGTCTGTCAGCCCCTTTAGTTACCCTTCAGTTCCCCTTGGAACATAAATCCTTCTGTTCCAGAAGCAAGTCTTAACTCCAGTTACACCCTGTCTTGTTATAGCAATCTATAGGAATACACACTGCTTCAAATGTATCCTTAAGTCCAGTAAGCCAAAAGAATTTTGATTTGGAAGGACTATGAAGAGGAGAGTTCTATTTCAGAGCTGAATCTTTCACCACTAATCTGGCTGGAACTGAAATTCTTCTTTTAGGTCCCCACTGGAGTTATGCAATAGCTAGACTCGGGTTTACTTTTCTAATTTCTCCCTTTGTGTCTGTGAAGGAAAAATAAACCGTATTTCTTTCTTCATATCACAGTGGCCCCACAGCAGGTTCTTTCCATATCTTACATTGTGTCTGACCTCCTTATAGATTGTTAAAGGAGAGAGATGGGTTTCTCTCCTGCTAAGGGCTTTGCATTCAGTTGGATCATGCAGCCCAACAGATGACCAGTTCTAGGTGGTATGTCTACTACAGTCAGAGCCCCACATGGCAGCCATCTTGAAGAACATTATTCAGGTAGCTCCTTGGCACAGGCCAAGGGCTGATGCCCTCAGGTGTCTTCCACGAACTCTGCTATATCCCTTCTAGAGAGGCTGTGGCAATACACCTCTCCAATAAAGTGGTTGACACAGAGGCAGTACCTCTGACCTTTCTCTTTATTGGCACTGTATGTGTGAGGCTGGGCCTAGAAGAGGGCTCTGTTACATGGGGTGAACTTGACAAAATTGTATGATAAACAATAAATGCTATGTTTGTAGTTGAAGCCTGAGCCTTTCTTTGCTTTTTCTCCCTTATTTCTGCAACAGCAAATGTGGAGGGCATGATTACTATCACTGGCCTGAAACCTGAAACAACCTACTCTGTGAGACTGTCTGCGGTCAATGGCAAGGGTGTGGGTGAGATTAGCCTGCCATCCGACTTCAAGACACAGCCAGTTCGTAAGTAAAACAGACCTCCCTCTGCTTCTCTGGTTTTCTTTCCTCACATCTTTCCAGGGCATATCTGCCATGCATGGATGACACCACCTTCTCTTGCAGACCTTGCTACACCCTTTGTTTTTGTTGTGCTTTTTGACTGTAGTGAATTTCATTAACTAATTAAAAATCTTATTTGAATAGGAGGCAGAGGAACTTTTATTTGCATTAGTTTGTGCCCTGGGTTACTAGTATAAACTTTGTATTGCCAAAGAGAAGGTTCTATGCAATGGAGAGTATTAATAAGAGAAAGCAGTGAGTTGATAAGGGCAGTGGTCACAGAGAATGTAATGTCCGTGCCACAGGGCAGGTTTTTTTGCAAATCCAAAACTAAGAGGTTCAACATAGGACTAGCCATGAACTGTGGAAGGAGGGGAAGGGAAAAGGATTTCTCTTTTCTGTAAATCAGTGCTTTAAGATTCCCATGCAGCACATAAGGTGATTTCCACAGCCTCTTGTCTGCTTTACTTTGGTAATCTTCCACTCTAATGGCAGGATGCTCTGCTGTGGCCTAACACTTTCCCTCCTGTTTAAACCAGGATCAGAAGAGGCAAGAATTAAAAACCAGGGTGTTGCTCAAAACAGGAAGGAGAGAAAGGGAAAAAAAGGTGTAGAGTGGGGTAGGAGAGATGTGACAAAAGCAGGCAAGGGAAAGGTGGTCTCTTATCCTTGTATACAGCTTCATCCAAGTATTAGGATCTGTGTTCAACCACACACAACCCCTGAGGTTGTTCTTTCCCACTCCCCTTGCATTTAGATCTACAGCCACCTTCTTACCACCATCACACCCATACTTGTGTACCTATTTCATGGCTCTTCTGAAACCACTATGTAGGACGTCCTAAGTTCAGAGCTAGCAATATTCCTAGCCCATTTATGTGTGTGCTTTGAGCTGTGCATGGTCTTGATTTTGTCTGCTAACTTCTGCCTCACCAGAATTGCTGAGCAATATGGGACAGTACATGTGCCTTGTTGCTTGGAAATCCGAGGCCCTGTGCAGTAAGTGATTGATGGCCATTCTGTTGTGATAGCTCCTGTAAGCTACCCCACTCCCTAGGGTTGGATTTGAGACAGCTGGTGGTATTTTGATTTTCCAGCTCCATGGTCTCTATCTCCTCTTCTCACCTCTTCTACATTTTATTTTTTTGTCTATCTCTGTCTTTTCTTTTTGTCTGTGTTCCATCCATGGAAAAACTGCAGGCATCCTTCATTCACGTAAGTGCCTCTCTGCATTTCTTTCACTCTTTTTATGTTCCTAGAGTGTTCCTCTAACATGCATAACATTAGCTGTTAATCTAGTACAGTTTTCCGCTCAGGGTCTTTAGAAATGAAGCAACTGGTATTGTCCATTTCCTAACAAGACTGACACTAGCATAGTCATCCTACTATGGGTAATACTTCTCCTTTTAGAACATAATTAAGCATTAACATCTTTGTCTTTATTGTAAAGCATGCAATTCAAATATTTAAATTTGTGATTGTCTAATAATAGTTAGCTTGTTGACTACAGAATGGAGTAGTGGAAGGCTTTATGTTTATGAATAAATTAAAGTTTTCACATTTTAATGAAATGCAGATAATTCAGGGCGGAAAAAATAACAAAAAAAAAAGCCACGGGAGAGAGTTTCAGACACTTGAATATCTTCACAACTTTGAAAGCAAAAACTTCACAAAAAACCTCACATTTTTCACCTCATCTCCCTAATACTTTTTACTGTTAATAGTCTTTGGACAGACTTCCAGCACTTGTGTAGATTGTATACTCCAATAAATAAATAAACCTCATACTAAATAAAAAATGCATGTTTTCCCCTTCCCAAGGCAAAATGAGTTAGAGAGATTTGATGGGCATATTTAATTGTCAGTTGAGTTCAGTGAAACATTGTATGCTCCATAGCTTTGTGCCTTTCAAATCAGAGTTAATCAATGGCAGTTGAAAGAAACCTCTTAAACAGTGATCACTTAGATAATCAAAATATGTGTCCTTGTGGTGAACTGTCGGTATTTCCAAGATTGCATGGGCAAGCTTTATGAAGCTGCTGTCACATTCTTTGAGATTTCTGAAGCTGAAGTGAAAAACAGGAAAGATTTATTTTTTAACCCTAATTACAGGATTTGAATCATGCATGTGCTATTTTTCCTTAAATATTGTATTATACAAAGCTTGAACTTAGTGGGCCGCTAACAGAATGAATGGATTGGTAGTCAAGATGGATGGATGAATGGACAGATGGATAGACAGAATTGCAAATTGCAGTAGTTACAAAGAGTCAACTGGGAGACATGTTTCCAGAACATATGTGCAGTCCATTGCCTAAAGTTGTTTGGAGCCTGTTAATTTCAGTAGAAGTAATATATCTTATATGAAGTTAATCGTGGTTAGTATTGTGACTATCAGGCAAATGATTTGGTAGGCCCTTCTGAATTGGACATAGTCAACAATACAGAAGGGACATAAGGGCTTAGGTATTCAGTCTCTGTGCAGATCAGTACCACAGGAAAAAGGGAAAAGATCAAATTAAGAAGAGAGGAAAAAGAACGTTAAAAGCTTTGTTTCAGCCATATTGACAGGTCGGTCTGCCAAGCTTCCTGTTCATCACTTGGGGACGGGTACATGGCTTTGAAGAATGTTAAATCTCACTTGTAGTAGAGTTTTTTGCCTTTTTTTTAATATGGCAATTGTCCATCAATCAGTCTGTAGCCGCTAAATCTGCTCCCTTGTAGGGTAAGTTCCATTTCTTTTTTCCTTCTTTGTGGGCTATAACATTTTTTTAATTTACAATTTAAATTCTACTGGTGCTCTTTAAAGCACATTTATGCCTTGCAGATGTGATCTTTCTGAGCATTTGGTTCTCTAATTGTTTCTCTGCTCTCTGGGGTTCTGAAAGCCCATCTCAGATCATTAACTGAGTTGCAGCAATGGTGAAGAGATTGTTGGCATAACAGAAATGCCTTTTTTCTTCTGTGCTGGAATTCCAGTCACACAATATTACCTGTTAGTGGGCAAAGTCAAAATCAGGAAAAAGTTGGGTTCCCCTAGTCTGATATGATTTGAACATCACAGAAATATTTCAGAAATTTTACAGGAAAGAATATAAAAACTGTTTTGACACCAACCAAGACTGCATTTTCATACTAGCCAAAGCAACTAGTTTTCCTTCCCTATTACTTGAAGTTTGCACTTGAATGTAAAAGCTGACACCATTTTTTAACGCCTACTGGTATGTGTCTGTAGTTACTTTGACTTTTAAAATTTTTTTCTCAATAAGCAAAAGTAGTTTCTTCCTATCTTAGAGGCACGTGAAGGCCCAAGTAATTAGTGATTATGATGTACTATACTAGCACAGATGGGAATTGTGGTGTTGGGAGGATCTCTGTCTTAACTTGACCTGGGTTTATATTTTCACTCCAACAATTCACTGGTTTTCTGCATTTCCTTTTCCTTACAAATCCGAAGACAAACAAAGGCTGCACACAGACCTTGTTAGGGGTTTCTTTCTGAGCCTCAGTTGTTTCTTGTGGTTGTGCAGGTGGGACCCAAATGTGTGTTAAACCACAAGAGTATGTGTGTGTATGGTGCATTTGGTTTTGATAACAAAACACCTTTATGTGTAAAAAAAAAAAAAAATAACAAAACAAACAAAGAAAAAAAAAAAAAAACCAACAAAACGAAACAACACTAAAATAATCATCAAATTCCAGCAGGTCCTAAACTGGTGATAGGATAGTTAGCAATAGCCTTCACCAAAACAGTTGTCATGTAGGCTGTGTTTTGCTGCCGTACACCCGGTGCTGGCCAGCATCTCTGCTGGCCTTAAATGGCATTGGTTTGAAATCCTGGGAACGCTGGTGAACATGGTATGTGTTCAATGATTGTGTGTATGAGAAAGCTGATGTAAAGCAAGAACTCACAGAGGATCCAAAATGCAGAACTGGCAAAGTGCATTTACTTTGCTCAAGCTCTGTGTTCATAGAGGCTTGATCTGACAAAATCTTGCCAGTTTGTTTTTTAATTTTTCATCTTTTGGCAATATCAACTCCCCTCCTCACCTTCCTTTCTCTTTCTTTAGCAAGTACTGCTGTACCTACCTCCCGCTTAGCAGAGAGTGAGTATGGTAGAAGAGGCTGTTGTCTCTGTTCCTCTTTGCTTTGCATGCATCTTCTCACAGTGTGATGCGGTCTGCCTAACATCCTTGGGAGTTTTGCCTCTTTTCTGTATATGGAATTTTTTTTTTTCCTCCTGAGTGAAACTGAATCTTCAGGTAGAGGAACTACAGATAAGCATAAGTTTGATTTACAGAGAAAAGCCACAGACATGAGCTATGCTGGACTCATGGAAGGAGAGAAATCAAGGGGAAGATATAAAGTGAAACCCTGCCCATGTCACTGGCCTTTGCCATTAAGATTTCTGATCAGTTTGTGTTCCATTATTGGGGACCTCTTATGGTATATGCTTAGCTTTTTTGGTATGAAACTAAATTTTCTGAAATCAACTTAGCACAGCAAATAAAGAGTTTAGTTTCTCAGCTAAATAGAGTGAAAGATACTCAAGTGATCGATGGGGAATGGCCCATGCTTCCCTAAGCTTGTTACGAAGATAACCTTCTAGAGCTGTGAAAGAAAACTCATTTCTTGATATCATGCTTCATCTTTTTTTTTAAATCCACATGATCAGATTTAGGCTGCAAACCACACTATCCCGTTCTTGCCTCACACTAGCAGCATTGATATCACCATGGGAGGAAAAGGAATTCATAGAATCACAGAACATCTGAAGTTGGAAGGGAACCATAAGGATCATTGAGTCCAACTCCCTGCTCCTTGCAGGACGACCTAAAACTAAACCATATGACTAAGAGTGTTGTCCAGATGCCCCTTGAACTCTGACAGGCTTGGTGCCTATTCCAGTGACTGACCACCCTCTCAGTAAAGAACCTTTCCCTAATGTCCAATCTGAACTTCCCCTGATGCAAATTCGTTTCATTTCCTTGTGTCCTATCACTGGTCACCAGAGAGAGATCATCAGCACCTCCCCTTCCGCTGCCCGCCTTGAAGAAGCTGTAGACTGCAATGAGGGCACCCCTCAGCCTTCTCTTCTCCAAGCCAAGTAACCTCAGCCGCCCTCTGTAAGTCTTGCACCATCTTGGTCAGCCTCACCTGGACACACTCTTAATAGTTTGATGTCCTTCTTATATTGAGGTGCCCAAAACTACACACAGTACTCGAGGTCAGGATGCACCAGTGCAGTGTAGAGCAGGACAATCACCCCCCTCAGCTGGCCAGCTGTATGCTGTGCTTGAGGCACCCCAGGACACGGTTCAACCTTTTGGCTGCCAGGGCACACTGTTGACTCATATTCAACTTGCCATCAACCCAAACCACCAGATCTCTTTCCCTGCAGCTTCTCTCCAGCCTCTCAAGACATGTGATTTACCCCTGTCTGTAGCTGTAATTCTCTGTCTGGTCTTGAAGACATGACAGTGACAATTCTTTTGATTTTAAAGATGTTACAAAGAATAGTAGAGAAACCCTTCGCAGCCTCTGTCTCTCACACTGCAATCTTTCCATGACTTTTGGAAGTAGAGATGTTCTTCTTTGTCCTTCTGTCCTGGTAATCCTTATATTTTGTGCCTGTACAGTCTGTCTTTGCTCTTGGGAGTGGTGTGCTTAGCAGGATTGCCCAGGGGCTACCAGTCTGTCAGTTTCTCTCAAAACTGCCATATTTCTCAAGGGTGCTCACACCTTGTTGAGCTGCTAGATCTTTTTTCCTCCTCTGTGCCTGTACCCTGATCCTAGTGCCTGGAGGTGAGAAAGGACAATGTATCAAGAGGGTAAGTTCTCATTAGTCCTTGCTCCGGTGTCTTCTATAGCTGGGGAAAAGCTGGCAACAGGGTGCTGCCCTAGACGGCCTCCCAGAAATTCCAGTACTTCATGGGCTAGCAGCATGTGAACCTGGGTTGCTGTTTGGGCTAAAAGTAGGTAAAAATGCTGTAGCTATCTCTGAAATTGGATTCAGAGCTTCAAAACTTCAGGACGAAAAAGCATCAGTAGGGCCCCTTGGAGCTGTAGCTTGCTGCAGGAACATGTGGTGCAGGCTGGCTTCTGTCACCTCGAGGGGCCTGTGTCTGGCAGCGCAGCTCTGCCTGTGGATAGAGGTTGGAAAACAGCAGCAGAGCGCAGTTTTTGCAGCCTCTTCAGGTAACACACATCTGCCATAAGGAATCAGTATCATCCTCACTCTCTTCTCATTAGACTTCCTCTCTTTCCTTTCTATCACCCCTGCCTCTTAAACCTCACATGGTATGCATCACCTTTACATGTCCTATCTAGCCTTCACGTTTCCATAGCAACTCAGCCTCTTGCTGAATCTGAAAGCTCAGAACCATCACATGAGTAGATACGAAATGCTCCCCTTAGGTCCAGAGTGCTGCTGTAGCCCTTCTGTTGAGGGAATTAAAGCTCTGTACCACATTATTTTGATGTTTGCTAACCAACAATCTGGCATTAATGCGTTGTGTGAGCATGTAGCTGTTAAGAATCCAGCATGGTACCACTCTTCCTCCTCTTCCTCTCATCCTACCAAGAATGCTCTTCGTAATGGAAACACAAGAGTTAGAAGAAACAGGGAGGAGGAGAAAGACAGGAGGAAAAAAAAAAAAAAAAACCCACATATTTATATTATCATTTCCAAAAGGAATGTTTTCCTTTCACATTTTCCATTAGTGATTTCAGCATTAAAGCTGCCTTCACAAGAGAGACATAGACTAAATAGTAGTGCTCTTGCTACCCTGCCTTGTTCTATATTCTGTGAATTTAGGGAGACACAGTTGATATTAAAACTATGGATGTTGGATGTTGAAAGAAGATGCAAATGAAGAAGTAGGATATCTTACAGGAGAGAGGACTGGGGAGAGGGAGCACTATCCCATCTTACCACTGATGCCCTACCTGCATTAAAAGAGGTCTAAAACTTCACAAAAAGTCTATATCTGCAATGAGAATTGGATTCAGAGTCCCTCAGTTCTTGTTAAGTACCTTGTCAATATGAAAGCCAAGCAAATATTTGCAACACAGTTCTGGAAGATGAAGAAAAACACTTAAGGAAGACATAGGTTTGCATGGTGCATGTGTGTTCTGAACAACTAATAATTTCTACAAAGTCAAATGCTTTTCTTTTGATTTACAGTATTAAATTGTATTTTGTTTCTGCGAATACCATCTTTAAGATAAAGACCTGTGTGTTTACCTGTAGTAGGTTAAAAATGGTTCATCACTTTTAAATGAAAAGATACTAAAAGCATGAAGTATGAGGTTATTTTGGGTTTTGGGATGGACAGAGAGGATAGTATGGCTAGTCTAGAACTGCCAAAGGAATTTTTTAAAAAAATTATTACTGTATTTATGACTGCCACATTTCATGGTCCTACACATTGCATGAAATATCCTTTTATCTGTCAGTGACCACAACAAACGCTTTCATTCTTGGAAGTATTTTTCATGTATACAACATGCCTGATGCATCTGAAGTTGTAGTGGTTCTGTATTGCTGAAGAGAACTTTTAATTAGACTCAGACTTGGAGAGTGGGGTGGAGAAGGGTGAAGGGCAGGGGAAAGGTGTCAACCAGCAGGTCTACTAGTAATCTTTTATTTTATTTCTTAGGAGGCAGATAGTCCATTACGGCTGTTCATATGTGGGGCTAGGAGATAGCTTCACTTTAAGGGAAAGGATAGCTTTCATTTGAGGGAAAACTCTGTGTTAATATTTTGCAGAACATTCTCTGTTCCTTAAAAAGAATGAGTCTTTTTTACCCAGAAAAGATACTAAGAGCTAGTTCATGATAAACATTTTCCACAGGTTTGGTTTTTTTTGGGGGAGGGGAGGAGGGGAGCAGGGAGGTGGGGGAATGGATGTTTGCTTTTTTAAGGGTAAAATTTTCCATTTTCACCTGAACAGAGACAGATCTGATCTCTCACTGCCTCATTGTCATTTGTGTACAGTCAGTTTATGCAAAGAGTAAACAAATTTGGTTTGTATGCTAAGTTGTTCTGCAACATATTCATATGCTATGTTCAACAGCATAAAAAGGCATTGGCACAAGGCAGGTGCTCTTAGAACTTTGCATTGTTTAATTATTGATGCTGCCACTGAATGATTGTGTGTCTTAGCCTAACGTAACTTGAGTGGTTAAATTAATGAAACCAAAAGCAATTAGAAATTGAGAGCTGCTGTGTATCATCATGAAGTCAAGAAAATGAACTGTGGATCTAATTGAAACCTAATGAAGCTGCAGAGGGTTTCATCACTGGCTTTAGTAAGTTTTGACTTTATGTGGTCAGTAACATGCCTATAGTCATGTAAGAGGTTTAGGAACATATATCTCCTTTGACTTAATCCTCTTAGGTTGCTTGGATAAATAATTCTTTATCAGTGGCAGTAATGAAGTTTTTCTTGCAGCTTTCTCCACTGTGGAATGTTTTTTGTCTCGCATTGCTTGAGGTCACTTGAAAAAGTTATTTTTTTCAGTTGAGGTACTAATGTGGGTCTTTCTTCTATCTAGTCTCCTGGTTTTTCATTAGGAACTTCTGTCATATTTACTAGATAGTGGCCAAGAGATTAAAAAGTTGCAGATGACAGAGGTGGAAGACACTGAGCAAGACAGGTGCAGGTGGAAAGCCAAGTGTATTTTTTCTGTAAAACTTGTGTTATCTTGCACAGTGCATCCAATCAATTCAAAATAGGTTGCAGTCTTGGGAAAAAGGTCACATGGGTATCCCAAGAAGCTGGTGTCTCATTTTTTGCTTTTTCATTTCTTTCCCCAAGAAATGCGCCTGGCCACCAAGTATTTATTATAACAAGATAGACATGTGTGTGTTTGGGAAGCCTGTTTAGATAAAAAGTGAAAGTTTGATAGCAGGTGTTCATTAATTAATTTGTCTTTCACACTCCTTTTCTTTTGCCTTTCCCTTTCACTCATTCCAGATTTACCATGAAGTACACACATATATTCTCTGCCACTGCCTGTGTCCAACCAGAATCCAAGAGCTACTATTGCAGTACCTCAAGGCAAACGGTGCTGAGGTCCCTGTCTCCAAATGCATTTAATGTTCAGAGAAACTCTTAAGATCCCGTTAGCTATGGAGTTTGGGAGAAGCATTTTCACAGAACGGACAAAACTGCATCTCTCCTTTTCATGCTTTTAAAAAATATGATCTGCAAGTAAGCTGGTCAAGGGTCCATATCTCTTAACAAGCCTTGATCATAACAGGATCTATAAAAGACACTTTTATCAGTTTTCTTGATCCAGTAGTCCCGAGAGAGACAGAGCAGACTATGAAAGCCCTTGTGTTTTCAGATTCACAAAAGTACTGGTTGTGAATAGAAGCCCATGTGTACCAGGGCATCACTCCTCCTGCAAGCTCCAAGACAATCAGTGTTCTGACTACCTGATTTCTACTCATGACAATAGGATGAATGTCAAGGTTTTAAGCTAAAGACAGTATTTCCAAATGTCATCTGCACCTTAAAAGCCTTAACCAAAGTAGCTTTTGGTTATATTTATACTGTTAAGTTTGCCCTTGTTCTTTAAAGCTTCCTCTCAGGAGGAAGTGATCTAAAAGTCAGCCTCTTGCCTGTTTTTAAATCTCATATTAAATTTACTGGGGATTTGGAAACATGTTTCCTCATGAGCAAGAAGATACTGAATGCCTTTCCAGGCAATCTCACAGTAACTCTTAAACTTTTCTCCCTCATGATACACCTGCCTAGAGTTCCATGAATCTGTGTTTATAACTAGAGACAATGGATTGAAAGCTTAACTGTAACAAATCAATTTTGCATTTTGTACCATCAGTTCTTTCCCCAGTAATGACATGCCCTTAATTTTATCAGATACAAGCACCCAGAAGATTAAAGGTTTAGTTCTCCTTAGATGAAATTAACAGGAAAGTTCCAGAGCACTGTGAATTAGCCTCATTAAGATGAGATAGGGGAATGATCATGAAAAATGCAAGTTATAAAGTAAATAGTAATTTAGGAAGGGAAACAGAGCATGGAATTAGTTATGTCCTCCAGTCCGACAACTGATGGGGTTTTTTTGTTTTTTTTCGGTTCCGTTCCCCTGTCATACAATCTGTGTGCTTCTTTGTCTCTTTCAGCAGTACCTGCCTTCCTCGTGCCATCTTTGTAATTAATTTCCAGTGCAGAGCACTTCATTCCTCTCATTGTTGACAGAAGAGCCTTTTGCATGCATTAAATCACCAGTGTAATTCATTGTATGTGACTCATGCCATTCCTTGAATCTTCAGGCTGAATATGATGGTTGGTTGGAGCTTGTGCACTCTGAGTGATAACTGTCTGTCTGACCAAATTCGGATTGCAGCTCTTTGATCAAAAACTGTGTTCTTGGAAATGTATAGACATAGTAGGTTTTTCTCTTTTTCAGTTGTTATTGTTGTTGCTATTTAGGAATACATTTGTTTCTGCAAAGGGGAGAATACATTAATATGGAATGCCAAGGTTTGTCTTCACTGAACTCTGTGGGCCATGATTTTGACCTTTCACCTCTGCTGCCTGGACTGTTTCTGAATAACGACGTATTCCCTTTTTCTTTCCAACAGTCTTGTGGATTCCTTCAGCTGTCCAAGTTCTGGTGCACACTCTACAATAATTTTAGTTTCTTCTTTGACTTGGTATTAATAAGCAGTGATGCTGCTGTACCTAACACTCACAAGGTCATAACTCGGTGCTTTCTGTGATTTAATATTCTTATATTTCCAGGCGATTTTACTGTCTCCCTAGTGTTTCTGATATATACTGGCTAATTTAATTTTGTTTCTATTTTATTTAGTCTGTAATTCTGTTGTTGATTTTTCCCTTGCCCATTGTTTACATCAGTTTTTTAATTTTTTTGTATTTTCCATGTGACCTCCTCCACTTTCCTTTCAACCAATCATGTGCGTGCGTATCATGTGACTTTGTCATGTGGCTTGCATGGTGCTGATGATGTCGTCCACGCTGGTGAACAGAAGGTAAAATACTTTGTTCTGATTGGTTGCCTAGATTTGGGGTGAGGATTCCCCTCTGGTCAGTGACCAGGGATCTCCAAATTCCATCACTCCAAAATTCCTCTACAAGCCTTTTGGAAAAGTCGCTCACCACTGTCTGCATGTGAACAACTCAGCTTCAGTTTTCCACACTGATCTTGAAAAAACTTGGAGGAGGGAAAAATAGTAATTTAAAAAAAAAAAAAAAAAAAATCACGTGGCTCAGTCATTTGCTTCTTTCACTATCAGAATCCAACAGTCAGTGTCCTAGTAAAGTTCTAAAACTCTCTCTGGCATTAACACAAATGGCAAAAATGCTTTTGCCTTTCAGGGTGCCAGTGTGCCAACTGCAGACTCTAGTTGATGGGAGATTATGAGTAAGATCCTCAGATAACGTGAACACTGTATTTCCTGTTGCTTTAGCAACATTTTCACCCTATGCAGGATACATTTATACAGATATATACACACACACAAATATTTACACTCTGACTATTTAGTAGCCTATCAAAAGGATCTGAAATTTTCTATCTCTGAAATTTAGTTATTGGTAAGCATGTCACATTGTGATTTAAGAAAGAAGTTTTTCATTATCATGAGTAAAAGTGAAACACAGCTAGGGTGGGAACTCTGTTTCTATAAAGTAGTGTATGTAGTCACACACAGTACATGATAGGAGCTAGACGTCACACAAGTTGCTTCAGAAGTGCTATTGCACCTTTCTTGCCAGAGCAGCTCATTCCTCCCACACGGTATCTCAGCCTGGCAAGGGATTTAATCTGAACTCATTTGCCAGCAACAGTTAGAGTAGCTGGTGATCTTAATGAAATCAAGAAGCAAATGATTGACCCTTGCAATTTATGGAGAGGAAATCAGTCTCCAAGTAAAGTGCGTGGTAGTGAAAACAAGTTCTGCAACATTGTGATTTTTACAACTTCACTTAATACTCTGTGCATAATCTAAAGGGGGGCAGGGAGGGAAAGTCGTGCTTTTTTGCTTCCCCAAATAAACAATTTTGAAAGCCAGGAAGCAATTGGCTTTTTGTCAACCTATTAATTCTGGAATCACCTTATTGTCTTGGACTATCACCAGAAGAGGATTTAGGCTGGGGTTTGCCAGGAAAACAAAACTAACACCAGTAACCTTCCCACATGACTGCATGCATGGGAAGCAGCCCCTCTTCCCCTAGTCTCTTCCCTCTCTGGTCAAAATCCAGGAGGATTGAAGACTCGGTTGTCTCGTTTTTGCATGTTCTTCTGGTTTTGTTCCTTATTTTTGATTGTTGATGTTTGCTTCTCTCGTGTGCATCCTGAAGACTTCCTACCTATTTTTTCTCACCTGTGTATATTTACCACTCGTGGAAACTTTCCATAGGTATGGCTGATGTTTGTTTCAGATTGTGACACTGTAGGTCACAATCTACTCCTATTTACATGATGGTCAAAGATTGCAGAAATCAGCTGCTTCCTTGTTCACGTGTTGCAGAAATTACCATAGATTGCAGTTGTATTCTCTAAGCACAGCAAGGATGCAGGATCTCTCTTCGGTGCCAGCTGGGCAAGAATTTAAGCTCGTTAAGTGCTGCTGTTGTCTAGTAACCAATCTGAACTGCTTTTCGAAGGTGGGCAGAAGGAACACATGTGATGGGAGTGGAGAAGAGATGTGATAAAAGATCTCTGTCATCTGTGTTGTTATCACTTCTGGGGTCCAGCACACACTCCATGTTCTGGGACTAGAGAAAAGTTCGTGCTGCTTTTTCATATTCTCTTCTCTCCTCTTCAGGTTTTCACTACAGCTGCATCCAGTCCTGGTGCTTGTGGTGCTGAAAACCAGATAATTAAAAACAGTTAGCTCCTTCGAAATCCAGCTACATCAGACTAGTATGAGATCAAGGAAGCACTCTGAACATAAATTAAACATCACTGAAAGGATACCAGGAAACATTTACTGCTTCTCTGCAGCAGGAGATTATTGGTGCTGATGGTTTAGCCAGAGCGCATAAAAATAATTTGAAAATGCAACAGCTCAGAGCACTGCCCTCATCTATCCTCACATCATGTATAGGAGGTAACCGGTAGTGATTCAGGCTTCAGGAGCCTGCAGAACAGTTCCTTATTTCAAGTACAGTTGGTCAGATTCACTGAGTTACATCTCAAGCCCAGAAAATGCATTTCTGAGCTTAACACTGGATTACCAGTGATGTGTACCCTGACAGGGCAGTGACATCATAAATAATGCTTCGCTTTATGCATGTACTGTCCTGTATTCTTATCAGAGCAAAGCATTGGCTTCTTCCTTTCTGAAAGCTGCAGACTTGGTTGCTGGACAAGAGAGACTGTGCAGTAACAGATGACTCCTTGGACCTGCACTGTAATCCAGTACAGTGCAGCAATTGGGTAGCCCTCATTAAAAACAGCAAAATGATTGTGCTGCTTCCTAGAAAGATAGGAGCTGAAAGGCTCAAGCCACTAGGTCCCAGTGTCTTGTGTCTCATACTGGCCAGTGAGATATTTCTGGCCTAAAATCTGATATTAGGCTAACCAATGCAGCAAGAGTCTATCCTGATGTCATTATTGTTTCTTGAGAAGCCAGCCATAAGGAATATGAGGAGGAATCTGGACAGATGAGTGGTGAAGAGCTTGAGTCTGGGTGGGTTTTTTTCATGCACATCTTTGTGGTTGTAAAGATAAATAAGAGTTAATGGGGAAAAAAAGTAAGTCCCCAGAGCCACAGAAGATGTGAGAGCAGATATAGATCTACTTTCCTTAAAAGGCACTAAAGAGATTGAAGGCTATCTAATTCACAGCTCGTCATTTCTGGGCAATGGCACCTTTGGAAGAGCCTTCACAGAGTGGATGAGTTGCCTTTCAAAATACAGGACTTCATAAGCTCTCTTGAACTCAGCTCCAGAGAAGGTTTGCTCAAAAACAGTATAAATGGCAAGAAGCAGGCAGTGTGCCATGCTAGTTTATTAGCTTTTCTCAGAGGTAAAGCACCTATTTGGTTTACTTTTTTCCTATGCTGAAAAGTGTTCTATGACCAACGTTTAAATCAGTGGAAGTGGTCAAGTTCTAACAAAGTATGTCAGGCAGCTAAAACCTGTAATCTTTACATCTCTGAGCAAAATCCATCCCATTTCTCAAGGAGAGTAAAGCACAGGGGTAAAAATTTAAGTTACTTGTCTTCTGTCTTCCAGGAGGGCTCCACTTGCGTTATTTGGGATTCTTGCTCCTGGAGTGAATAAGTTGCCATCTTGCTCAGACCTAATCACTCAGCGTTGTTGCACCACAGAGTGAAAGAAAAAGATCCTGCATACCTCCTTCTGCAGCAGACTGAATTCTAAGCAGACAGGTGTTTGTAAAATGATTATACAGAGGAAGTCTGGCATGCTTGGAGCTGCCTGCTTTCAATAAGCTAAATAGCAGCATCACAACAGGGATTATTTAAGGATCCCACATTTTATGGGTGGAATAGGCAGATTTCTGCAATATGTCCAGTTAACTCAGTGTAAATGGGAAATCCCCAGGCATGTAGCACACCTCTGTAATGCACTTTTGCTTTTCAGCCCCCATCCTGTAGGGAGGATGCATGTTCTGTGAGCATGAGTTTCTTCTCTAACCTTCTGACGACAACCTTTTCTCTTCAGCTACTGACATTTTGACGACTTATAGGGATGCTGATTCTGCTGGACTAAACTTTTCCCCCTAAATTTCTTCCTTCTTTGTTTGAAACTACACACTAACCCATTTTTAATTTTACAGCCCTGTATCTGGATTACATCTGCCTGCCTGAGAAAAATTAAATACCATGTTTTTATGGAGAGAAAACTAAAGTATTCTTCACCAGGTCTTACACTGCTATGCCTGTTGGGTTTCAGCCATTAGGAGTGGTCTATATTCTCCTACCTGAAAATAATGTTTCTCAGAGCAGAAATGCATTTAAATTATTGGGTAAGGAAGGAATCAGCAGCTAGAAACTAGACAATTCAAAGTGAGGAAAAGTTTCAGCACAGAGGGTAATTAATCAGTGGAATGGCTGTGTATAAGCTACAGCAGTATCTCTGGCATTTAAAATCTATCAAGAATCTTTCCAGAGGATGTTCCTTCACATTTTAGTCTTGGTGCTCAATCATGGGAAAAATGTCTAGCCTGGGTTAGACAAGAGGTCAAATTCTATAAGTACAGTTTTCCCTTATCACTTAAAGATCTCTTTACTAATTTTCTCTCTCTGAGGTGAGGATGGGAAAGAGTATGAAGGAGATGGTGATCTTGTACTGTCTAGTTATCAGTGAAGCCGTTCATCAACTGTACCACAAATACAGCAACAGTTAAGCATTGCTGCTCGTAAATGTTTCAGCAGCATCAATTGGCTCAGTGTCCAGCAAAATAAGTAGCCGTGAATGCCTTGCCCCTAGTTGTTGCTGGGAGCTAGTTTCTTGTGTGAGAAAATAATAGAATAAGACATTTGCTTCTGGCTTCATTTAATTATTGGTTAATAGTCATGACACAATTGCAGTAATAGCTTCTTCATCTCAAATCAACTCAGTAGTCAAAACCAGTAACCTTTGCAGTGATATTTTTCCTTTAGGATTGAGGAAAGAAAAAAATATAATTGTTTGGTTAATCTCATATTTTCAATATGCTTAGGTGAGGTACTTCTGCTCATCTAGAACTCGCTTTCTCCTGTTCAATTTTCAATCAGCAATGCATTGGATGCATTATGAACGCTTTCAGCATTCATAATTCCAGGAGAAACATGAGCTGGGAAGGCATTTTCAAATATGCAGCCTCAGTTAGTTATCAGTAAAGATAAAAATCCAGCCTTCTGTCTATACAGTAGATAGCAAATGTGGTCATCAGTTAAACAGGAAATTCTCTTGTCCTTTCTTGAGACATGAATGGCCCTATACTATGTGAACCAGGAAAACTCCGGAGGTGTGCATAGCACCTCTTGTAATGTAACCTGTGTGCTATCTGCTTCAAACCACACTAGAGGTCCATACAAGCGCAGCTGCATGGTCACCTTGAGAGCATTACCTTTGCATTTTCAATATACTGTCACCAAGAAACCTGTCGCAGGGTGGAATACACCTCTTGAGTGTCTCCCTCGTATCAAGGGAGTCTTATAATGGGGATATAGGCAGAGGCAAGGATCTGGAGAAGAAAAACATAACACGGAAAAAAGGAGCATTCCCTATTTATGTCTTTAAGAGAGGTTACTATGTTGTGAAACACAAATGTATGTATCTCACATCAAAGGCTTCTGTATGTCCATGGACTGTAATTACCTTCTTGGAACAGCTGGTATGTTAAAGCATGTGTTAGCCCACAAGAAAATCATATTAATCTTAAATTACTCTTTCAGTCTAGATCTTGCAGTTTCCTCACTGATGTTTCACCAAAAAAAAAAAAAAAAAAATGTGCTTGAATTCTTTCTGTGGAGGAAAAGGGAGAGGGGGAAGAGCTTCAAATTACTTCTGAAGATCAACTTTGAAAGATACTGGAGGATTGACCTTCTCTGGCCAGTCAGAAATGCATGTGCTCTCCATTAGTAGCTGAATGCAAATACAGACAGAACAGATTTAGAACTGAGAATGGGGTTTGGGTTGAAAGAAGTTCCTGTAAATACTCATGATTTATGTTAACTTTCAAAGTTGATCTTCATACAACTACTACCTGCATATTTCCTTTCACTTTTAGTATAATGCAACAGAACTAAATCTTTTTAAAAGTTTTATTCTAGGCAATAGGCTGAGCTTTTAAAAAGTCACAAATGTTACTGCAGTGTCCTGGTTTTGTTCTCATTTGGTTACATTAGACTCTTAACTCACAAATGTCACTGTTTCAGAGTTTAGGTATTGTTCTTTTTGGGATACATTCCAAATTGGATCATCTTTTAATTGTGTTTCACCTTACTTTCGTGTATCCATGAGCATGTGTTCAAGAAACCCCATTGTCCAAACCACAAGTGGCAGTGCAAGTAAAGACAGAGGTGATTTAACAGAACTGTAGGTCACTTCGAGCTAGAATGGTGAAGTGTGTGCTCAGTGTCAGCAAACCTGTGTACACGCTTGGGGCTGCAAAAGTTTGGGAAGTGTGTTTTGACTCCAGGTGCACAGCAAAACACGGGATGTGCATTGTCTGTTGTATTCTCTGTATATAAATTTCCTGTAGTCAGCTCTAAATGCGCTATTCACCACTCAGATGATTAAATAGAAATACTTCCAAAATCCATAAAACATGCGTAACTGTGCTTAAACAGGGGTGTAGGAATTTTTTGCTTTTTAACACTCAACCACTTTAATTGTTATATAAAATACCTGTAAGAATTAAGACCCTGTAATGAGTCCAGCCAGCAAAGTATAATTAATCTCAGGAGTTTGCTGTAATTGCTAACTGAGCTGATTTGTAAGTTTAACTTACAAATAATTGCAGTGTTGGTTTTGCTTAAATTACCCATAAAGAAACTGGGCAGAATAACTTCCAGAGAATAGCAGCTGAAATGGTCAGAAGTTCTGAAGAAGCTTTTAAGTCCAGAATACATGGCTTAAACACTTAGACTACATCATATAGCTGATTCTAAGGAAGTCTCGAAGTACTGTAAGATGACCTAGCGAGCTTCATCAAACTTTATGATAAATTCGGTCATGTCTTACTGACTGACTAGTATTTAAACCTTGGGACATTGCAGGGCTGTAGAAATAATAGCTCTAACTCCAATCTCAGATGAGCATTGGCATAGAGGAGCCTAAGCCTTTCTTGCCTTTGTGTAAAACTGAGCAAAGCAAGCATCTAGACACTGACCGAAAGTTAGCAGGATCTTGTGGTCTATGTCACTTCTGAAAAGAGAGACCGGTGCTCTTCTATCGTTTAACTTCTTTTGCTAATTTGATACTTATGTTGTTGGGACAGAAGGTTGCTTAGTTGATGGGTTTCTTTTTCCACAAAACCAAATAAATAGGTAAAAATGCCTCGTGCATAGTAAATTCACAGGCTGTCAGAGCACTTCAGAAACAATGGATCCCCAGGGTAATATGGAAGCAGAAGGAGAAAGCATGTCTCTTGAGCAATTTGCTGCACTATTTCTGAGGGGGGTGGGGGCATAAATATGTCATCAATCAATCTATGTATTTGACTTTTGTTAGGGGAGGTGTTATAGTAAAGGTGCAAGAAGGAAATACTTGAGTTGGGATTGGGGAACCATCCTCTACAGATCACGTATGCAGGTTATGGAGGAATTGGCTAGAAAACGCAGTTGTTAGAGACATGGGCGTGAAAGGGTGTGGTTGTGAATCAGCGTGCCCTGCAGAGGCAAATGGCATCTCAGTTTTCTGCTGATGTAAGGGGTGCAAACTGGGAAATAGCTTTTCTTTTAAAAATTATTATTACAGAAGAGTGAAGGGGTCTAGTTCTCTCTAGCCTGTATTCATTGCAATTAGTTACACCAGTGCAAGCTGAGTGAAAAGATGTGCTGTTGTGATTCAGTACCATTTTTTCCACACTCATTGAAGTGAGCACACCAGTGAGTTTCTGGTCCAGCAACTGTAAAATCTAAACAACATTCAAAGTGCAAACTCAGGTCTGCATGACAAGCTTAATGTCCCTTTTTGGTGCTGCTCTTTACACCTACACTTCGCAGGAGCAGTCTGCCTGTTTGCCACATACCCTATCTTGACATTTTCCAGGTATTTCACATCAGTGTTTTACAAGAAAAGTAGTGAGGAACTGGTCATTGCTCTAGAATATTCTTGGAGAAGAGGGAGGTCTTTTTCACCTAGCCTCTGATTCCATTCCAGCACACAGGAAAATGGTAACTCGTATCAGTGAAAACAAGCTACCAAATACAAGTAGTACTTGGGTCTTGTAAATATTTGTTCCCTAGACACAGAGTGTCCTCTGGATCAGAGTGAGGTTGATACCATGGCAGCTGAGTATAATGAAGTATTTTTCTGATCTTGATGAGTAGTTTTTTTCCTAATGACTTTTTTACAAGTAAACATAAATCCACCATTGTTTCAGGGGAACCCAGTGCACCCAAGCTGGAAGGTCACATGGGAGAAGATGGAAACTCCATTAAAGTGAATGTTATCAAGCAGGATGATGGTGGCTCCCCAATTCGACATTATCTGATCAAATACAAAGCTGTAAGTATGACTGACATTCAAGCTTGATTTGTATGTAGCTTGTTCAGTACTTAGGTTTCACTATGTAGGCGGACAACCCTGAAGCTGAGATCTTGTAGGTAGGCCAGGATGGGAATACTTGCTAAGTGTGTGTGGTGGAAGTGTGTAGGGTATGAGATATGACATGCACAGAAGTAACATACATAATCTTTATCTGATTTTCTTTCCTTTCACTTTGCCTATGAAAGATTATTTCTCCATGCTGTCTTCCGTAGAACTGTGAACATATGGTAATTACAAGCACTTAGTATTATTTCATTTCCTGTACTTCTGAAATGGGATTGCCAGCAGCAGTTTAAATAGCTGGGGACCAGAGGTTCATAGTGTAGAGCACTGCCCACCTTCAGACATGTATCTAATAATAACTTTCTGTTGGTCATTGAAACTTCCATATTTGATTAATATGTGCCTCACTACCAAATTATTCTGTAGATTATTGAATAAGACATTCAATGTAGTCAATACAGATACAGGTAAAGTGAGAGATGCTACTGGAAGTGGTTCCCCTTTAGGCCTAACTTAATCAGTTCTCATTGTAAATTACCCAGAATTGCAAAATACATGATTCTCTGAGCAAAACATCTAGCCCTAGTCTGGGGAGAGAACATCTATGTGATGAGCAGCTAGTATTGTTGTAAGCTGAATGTGGCCCTTGTTTTGTGTTGGATGGTATTTTCTGTTTTTTTCCTACAAAAGAACACCCAGTCAGATTGCTTAGCACATCCTTGAGGAGTAGGACCTTGAGGAGAGGGTCAATGAGAATATAAAGCTCTTGAGGGCAGCAGAAAGAATTGCCAGAAGTTATTGAAGCTTTTTTCTACTGTCTGCACACTTTCTCAGTCTTAATACACCTGGTGGCAGCTGAGCTGTACCAGTGTGTTTGAGGTGAAATATGGAAGCTTTCCAGCTATTAAGAAAGCAAGACACTTTCTTAGTGACTGAGTCTGACAGATGTGGTGCTGAACTAATTCCATATTGGCTATTACTCATCTTTTCTTTATATGCTACAAATGAACAATCCTTATTGTACAGTCACAGAGCAGACTTTGCACTGCAGTCTAGAAATCCCAAGAGTATTAGTTACCACCGTCATTTTGTGCATTTTAGGTCACTTAGAGCTTCTTAGAATGGGGAGAGTCTTTGGAATGTCAAAAGGACAATCTAGTATCACAGAACCATAAAGTCCAGCAGAGACACTAAAGTCTGTTAGCACACTCCACTCCCAGAAGACTGCCCGAGTCTGCAAGGTACCTTGGCATTGGGTTTTTCAAATTTGTCTGAATGAAATGTACATCTGGATTCCCTGAAACTGGAGTAGGAATTATCAAAGTTACTAGTTGTATGCACCTTTAAATACCTCTCTTAAATAGTGCAGAATAGAATGGTAGGTGGTAAGCTAGGCCAAACCTGGGTTAAGAAGTAAATCTCTGTCTTTCAGATGATTTAAATTTGACATACTAAGACAGGAAAGAACACTCTTAAAGTGCTTTGCAGGGCATAGACATACAGAAGTCGCAGCGTTGCCCCTCTGAAATGGAACTAGTCTTGTGATGTGACAAAGATGAGAGGAAGAACTGAGGGATTTTCTTCAGGTGTGGTGACACTGCAGAAAACAGGATTCTGAGCAGGAAAGAAGCTGCTTCAGTATCTCTTGTCCTCTCCATTTAGAGCCAAGAGCACATGATGTTTTGCATCCCTGACTTAGCTGAGGAGCGTGTGCTTGTGTAGCAATCTTCCCCACTTTTCCATTTGTTAGTTAGCCATTACACTGTTCTCAAAGCTAGTTACTAATGTTGTGCTGTGTGTTTTGCATCCCGGCCTGTCATCTTGCTGCTCTGCAGAAGCATTCGTCGGAATGGAAACCAGAGATCAGACTTCCATCTGGCAGTGACCACGTCATGCTCAAGTCCCTGGACTGGAATGCGGAGTATGAGGTTTATGTGATAGCTGAAAATCAGCAAGGGAAGTCCAAACCAGCTCACTATGCTTTCCGAACTTCTGCTCAGCCTACTGTCATCCCAGGTACAGCAGTCATAAGCTCTACCATTGTTTTCTGCTTCCAATTAATGCAACAGTGCTGCATCCTTTAATGTGCCTGAGTAACCCTGACAACTTGCTTGCTTAAAGCCATTATCACAATTGGTTACCCATCCAAAGCTTAGTTTTTGCCATGTACATACCTGTACTGTAGTTCATGTTACAGTATGTACAGCGTTAGCAGTACACTGTGAGGAATGATACATGACAAATCCTTGTCTGACTATTTACAGGGAATGTTGGCTTTTTGTATCAGGGTAACAGGATTGCCAGATGAGAAAAAGAGGGGATAGAAAATGCTTTCTGAAACCAGAAAGTGGGATTCCCATTTTAAACTAAAACAAAAGAGACCATTCAGATCTCAGGGGTGATGCTTTTTACAATGCAGATTTCTCTTCCAAATCTGCTTGGGGCTTGCTTACTGCTCATTTGTCCATCCAGATCAGCCTTTGGAGGAATAAAGGCATAAGGAATTTGCTAGCGGTTGGAAATGGAGGGGGTTAAAATCTTTCTCAGAAGTTTTTTTATTAAATGAAATGCAGATCAAATTACAGTAATTTTAAAACAGCACTGTTTTAATGTTGGGTAGGGCATGAGGAAAAAGTAATTAGCATTAGAATGCTGCTGGAAACGCTTGTTTCAGACAGGCTGTACTAAGTGTGCTTAAAAAGTGAGGTAGAAGGACAAATGCTACAAATAAACAAGCAGACCCTGTCAGCTGAGATGCTAGGAATTCAGTTCGCTGGAGGCTGTTGGAAGGACAGTTGGTATATCTTTTCTACACAGGTGGTAGTAGCACACATTAAAAAGCAAGCAAGCAAATACAAAACTGAAAAAATCCCCTAAACCAAATAAAGCCTCAAGGATGAAATTGCTGGACTACCTGTAAATTAAAGTTTTAATTGGTTAAAGGCAGATGGACAAACTTCAAAGCTTGAGTCAGTCAAGATAAGTCCTCACTGCACATCCAGAGTTAAGCACATTCATGCCAAGATTGGTGCTGACAGTCCATATTGATGGGAGTGATTTGGTTTCATTCTGTCTTCTAGATTGTTAACTCAGTCTCATGTTTTTCTTCAGAACAACTAGAGAGTTTTCTTCAGTATTTCCCTCGCACTGAGAATTCAGTCCTCAGTCTGCCCCCACTGCATCTACTCCCTTCCTGTCTGAAGGAAACAGCTGAGACTTGTGCAGTTTACATGCTGAAACTCCACTTGATCAAGTCAGATAATGTTGTTAAGCATACAAATGTGTGACCTAGTTGTTGGGCCTTGAAAAATGTGTAGGGAGGATGAGGATAAGGAGGAGGAGGGAAATGGGGCGAAAGAGGATTGGGATGTACATTTGAACAAGGCTGTAGTTTTGGGTGGAAGGACCCTCAGTAACTCATTTAAGCAACTTACTCTCTGATTCTCATTTTCAGCAGCTCTAATACTTGCTACCCTCACATATTTGAAGGACAACTGTGACTCATGTGGCAGGAGAAAGTGAGGGTAATTTGGCAAAGAGTGCCTCAAGGTCAGTTCAGAGCTCAACAGTCAAATGCAGTAGGCTGGAAACAGCAGAAAGTGGTTCCTTTGCACTGTGTATCTCCCCAGGGAAAGTTACAAGTACTGATCAGTCTTTTTGTTCCTCCACAGCCCTTTGTGTGCAACCATTGTTGCCTTCCTGTGCTGATACTCTCTTTTAGCCTCTGTTACATGCCCAATGGGACAACAAAGCTACCTGAGACAACTGGGATGTCTTGCACAGTTGTGTTAGCAAATTTTGAGAACACTGTTGTCTTTGGAATACATGGTATTCATACTGTAGTCCATGGCAATGGGAGGAGCAACGAGCCCAGATGCCACTGAGCCCTTTAAATCCAACAGCAACATAGGCAGCAACCCTCTAAAAAATAGGGGGGGGCGGGAAAGCCCAGTTTGTTATCACAGGTGTAACTTTGGCCTCTGAAATTATTTCTCACTTAGTCTGGTATGAAGCGTAGGAGGAATCAGGATTTGAGGCTGCCACTGAAATGTTGCACTTGGAAAAGCAGTTGTTTTGGAGTGCAAATACGCTGCAGGATTGACCGAACAGATGGATGCAGTTGGTTCTCAGAAAGAATGTGCTCTGGTTCAGGGGCAAGTAGAGCACTGCAGTGAAATGATTACTGACGGCTGTGCTGGATTTACGATTCTTTCTCTGTGTTGTTTTGTTTGATTGGTTGTTTTGTAGAGGACTTTGTTTTCTACTAGGCCTTCCAAGGTGTTTCCAGACCCTTTGGTTCCCTGAGCTGATCTCCAAACTAATAACACTGGGGAAAATATTTCCAAAGGGCAGGCTAGATTTTTCTGACATGCAGTCCATAGGCCTCTACTGAAATGAAGGCAAGTATGCCAAATTTCATTAGGGAAGAGGCTCTGTCTATTACTTTCCTTTAGCATCTCTTACTGTTTTCATGGCATTTAGCATTTACATTTTTATTTCAAAATGAGCTACATAGGAGAGGTCAAAGCCAATGCCTCTAACATGGCATTGCCCTGCTTGACAGTAATAGCTAGGAATTTCGTGCAGACACAATGTATATTTATTATGTAGAGTCCTTTGTTACAATCATCAGTACAGTGTCTTTAAAATGGTTGGAAGGATAAGGGTATTATTTTCAGTAGTAATAGTTGCATTAGAATAGTTTACAATCAGCTAGGGGGCTAAATGGAAAAGTTAGTCCTGTATTCTTGAGACCTTCTTGCTTTTCCAGGGTTTTAGTCACCTGGCTCTATTATCCAAGTCCTTGGTACAACAGGCTTTTCAGGAAGGACTTGGACAGGCACATGGATTGTCTGCTACAGCAAAGCGCTTTTTTTTAAAAAAAAATATGTAAAAGGCAGTGTTGTCCTTTCAAATAGTAGGTAACCATTCTCTTGTGTTTCTCGCTGAGCCTTCTGTTCCATCATTTTTAATCTCATTTGCTTGCGAACCCCATAAACCCTGACTTGGACCCTGCTCTGCAGCTTTGGACATTGCTGAGCTTCTGAACCGGCCCTTTTGTCGGTGTGAATGTGCTAATGCTCTTCTTTAGCCGTTAGCCATTTTAATTTACAAAATTAAATAAACCTTTGATTCTTATGTTTTCTATATTTATGACCTAATTTTTTTTATCTATTTTTCTCTCTTTCTCTCTTTCTTTCTTTTTCTTCCTCGTCCTTTATTCCCTCCCCTCTCCCTTCTTCCCCTTACTCCTTTCCTATGTCTGTCGTCATACATGTCACCTTGGATCTCACGGGGAAACATCCACGCTTGCCACATGCACCAAATTTGTTTTTAAACAACCATATTTTCCCCTCCTGGGAACCATTGTCTGGCACCTGCAGCGACCTTGGGAAGTCCATCAACGTCGTCCTCCTTTGTTTCATTGCTTCTTTCTGCAGTGACTCTGCTTTTGCTCTGTTAGAAACTTAAAATAAAATAAAGCAATATTTTCTTGAGAAGGCCTGGGTCTCACCAAGGCGTGAAAGCAGATAACTTCTTTGCTTCAGAGGATCATGTCAGTTCAGAGAAGAAAAAAAAAAAAAAAAAAAAAAAAGAGGGGCAAAACACCACACACAAAAACAAAAACACAGAGAACATTAGAACATTTACAAAAAATGTTTAATTTGAAAAAGGCAGTATTTTGTAACAAGGAAAAAAGGCGTAGGCCAAGTTTTTTCTCTTTAACATTTTTTTGTTACTTGTAATGAATTTTCCCTTTTTAATGGATGTGAAGAAAGATTGTTGTTGTTGCTGTTTGCTTTCTGTTTTTCATCAAAGGAAGGTACATTATAGAAAGCCTTTTAAGATACTGCTTTTTTACTGATTTTCTTGCACATCTGGTGCTGATCCACCACTGTATTGTGCAAAAGGTTTCTAAGGCCCCACCCACAAATCTAAACCCACAGACTACAAAAAGAGAAAGAAGATTTGTCAGAGATGATCCTACTGGTTGCCCAAATGTCTCTGTGGTCTTTTGCATGTGGATTGAAATTTATGGCATTAGAAGGTTTTCCTGATGTGGTGGTCTGAATATAAACATCTTGTGGGAATTACATTGAAGAGATGTCTGTCTTTCTTCTTTATGTGGTTGAATCCTTGCAACTTCATTGGCCCCTTGTGTGCAGTCAAGTATCTCATGACCCATAGTGGATCTGGGGCATAATACAGCCCATGAGCATACAAATTTGTAATGGATGCTTGTCTAACATTTTCAGGTTTTCCACTACTCTATTATCAACTTCACAGAGCGATCCCTTTTCTTGCTATTTTAACAGAAAATATTAGCTTGCAGGAAGTTACATGACCAGCTAAATTATTATTATTATTAATGTTTCTTCATAATATTCATGGTTAACTGTGCATGTGACACTACCAGATGGGATTAATACAAGGTGTAAATTGGTGCAATGTAATGCATCTTTGTTACCAGATTCTACATATTGCATTTTGTTGAACAGATTTCAGTTGACTTTTTTCTTATTCTTACTTAAAAAAACCAACCAAACAAACAAACAAAAAAAAACCCAACAACAGCAAAAAAAAAAAAAAAAAAAAAAAACACAAAAAATCAACCCAACAGCAAAAAAACATATGCCCCTCGTGAATTGTCTGTGTGGTGGGAAATCTGTTTGGTTCTGATGCTCTTCTAAAAGTGGTTGTTTCTCCCCCTCTGGGCCTCTCTTTCCCTGTGAGTGGGCCTGAGGTTGCCAAGGATGAAATTGTTGACATAGTTGTCAAACTATCTGTACAGAATGTCTCAAATACTATCAGTTGTGTGGAATGGGATAAATATTCCTAACAAAATTCTAATCAGGCACAAACAAGAAATCTCGCCATCAGTCTTGCCTAACTATGCACTTTATACTCTGCATATAAGTCTCTGTTGTGTTTATTCAGACCTTGTTCATTATGATTTGTGAACTGCTTTTCTATCTAAATTATAAATGAAAACTTTGTGCAGGTGTTGCTAACAA